GCCAACTCCTCTCTTTTTCTCAAGCTACCGACAGCAGTCGGCACATTAGCAACATCGACTCTAGCACCGCCTCGGACCTTGAAAATCTCCCTTGGCTTCGTCAATTGCGGCGGTGCCTCGGCAATTTCGAAAGGATTCGCCGGCTTGTTCAAACGGTCCTTGCTCTTCAACTTAGCCCAAGGATCTGATCTATCGGCACCCTGTCCACCCTTCTTTCTTGCACCAGCTCCCTTCTTTTTTGCCTTGCCCTGGCCGGCCTCTACTTCCCACTCCTTCCATAGTTCTAATTGGTCTTCTAGTTCTGCCTCTCGCTCTTCACGCTCAGCAGCCTCACGTTCTTGGATCTCCGCCTCCTCCTTCCGCCACTGCGATTGTAGTCGGAGCAAATGTTTCTCATGCTTCGTTACCTTATGTTCACGAATATCAGCGATATCCGACTTTGTGGGTTTCCCAGATCTCTTCATTCCAGCAATGGGCATTTCGCGGTCTACTCGCGCCGCGAAATCTGACAACTTCTCTCCCGGAAGAATCTTCGGCTTCACTTGGGGTTCGGCATCGGTACTCTGCTCCACTGCCACCGCAGGGGCAGCCTTCTTGCGCGTGGTTTGTGTCGCATTCTCAGTGTTTTCCGCTCCTCTTTTCCGCTTCTTATTCTCGCCAGCACTTGGTTTCGATAGCGCCTGCTTTCCCTGGGTCTGAAACTGCATCAACCGGCGAAAAGCTTTGGGGGTATCATCATCTGCAGCAGCTTTCCGACGGGCCTGGAGTTTATCTTGGGGTTTGTCGTCCTTGACATTCTTTTTTGCTTTCTTGTTCTTGGAATTGGGATCGCGGACCGGGAGAGCCTTTGCGATCATAGTAGGTGGGAGATCGTAGATACTAGTAGGGTCGTTGTTAGTGGTGACACAGCATAGTTCAAAGCACGAGGAATTAGACTTACTCCGCGTCATTTTGCTTCCGCTTATGCTTGTGAGGCATTTTGAATGTGGTGGTTCTGCAGCTGTTCGTGATGAGAATCTGCGGAGGTGGACTTGAATGGCAACTTTTAATTTTTTTTCCTTTTCGGGCGGCATATCTAATCGCGGCTGATAAGATTGCCCACCTTCTGTACTGTACTAGCCGTGCCAGTTCGGAGGATCATTGAGACGTTTTTCTTTATTCCTTTACTTTTATTTCTTAGAAATAGTCTTGAATATCGAAGCTGGGGGCCTTATTCGACGAGTTGATGGCTTGGTCTACTCGTTCATAAACTGCTGGACTATGATTCAGACCTATTGTATATATTCTCCATCGTTTGACCTTTTCATAGCTAAAATATATACTTCTGTCAGGTCAGAAATTCATCCGTTGATCATGCCCGTGAACAAAACAAAGAAGAGTAAAACCAAAAAAAAGAGATATAGCCAGGACCTCTGCCATACTGTGAATACTCTCCTATTCATCTATTCAGTTAGAAATGCGATACCACCCCGTCAAGACTCATCCAATAGCTCATCCGATTTAGGACCAGGAGTGGTAAGACATAAAATGACAAATCAGTAAGCATAACTAAGTATTGGAAAGTAGGTTACTGCATATTTCTTCCTATGCCAATGAGTTACTAGACCCCGAAACAGGACGCCGGGTGTCATCGGTGGATTCATCCTACCAGAGAGCGTAGAGGTAGAACGCACTCAATACCGTTGAAAGGTGTAATCGCCGCATTCCGAAGCCATCGTTCCGCGGAAAACAGTGGCGACCGGTAGTGGGGTGATTGTAGGTGGTGGTGGTGGCGATACTGTGGTGCATAGTACGTTACTTTTCCTTGGCAACACTTGTGAGGGTACTACAATCATGCGCTGAAAACGAGGTTCTTCCTTGTCGGCCAGTTCGTTTCCCGCCAGGTTCCTTGAGCGTAACCTATGCGGCTTGAAGGTGGATGTACTAGTATTGTTACGAGGGTTGCTATAGTCCACTAGTACGAAGTAGTTCGTATACATATAAGCTCCGCCCCTAAGAAGCTCTTCAAGATTCATGGTTGCTCGCTTAGAACAAGCGGAAGCTTAAGTATAAAGGAGGAGGGGAAGGGGAAAAAAAAGTCAAAGATATGCAATTGTTGATTTCTGCCGATCGATCGCATCACGCGTTGGTATGATAGGTCACCTGTGTACTGTACATGGCTTTACGCGTAACCCATGGTAAGGTAGTAGTTCTGAAAACAGAATGAATGTCTGGGATCATGGATGTCGAGTGATACTGCGCAATACCTAACGACGTCATGCATTCGGTTGTAAATATGTTCCGAGCAGAAACTGATCGGTGGTGGCTGCTGACTGGTGCTAGAAATGCATCTGAAGAAGTGAGCCAATTATTTACTCCGCGTGATTAAATTTAGATACACCCATACGGACTGGACATTTGTACTGTGTAAGCTTCCCGGTTAACCACTACTAGTAGTATCACTACGTACTGATGTGCTTAGTAATTTTGGTCCCGAGTATCCTAGTACCTACAGTACAGTCCAGGCTGCCATTCTATTCTCGAATATTATGAACTAGCGAGTGTTCTATTAAGGAGGCTGTGCTCAACCATGGGTTCAGGTTAAGTGCCAATGGTTCTGTATCAAATCTACCATACGGACTGCAGGATTTCTCAGGTCCCTTTCAGCGTCTGGGCACTCCACCTCCCAATCAACAGCTGTAGATATCAGCGAATGAGAGCCTCTTATGCTACCAACGTTGACTCTTCTCCCGGGGTGACAGTGGAAATATCTGCCAATGTTTCTGTCCCAATAACGATATCCAACATCGCACATGTCTTAATTGGGTCGTGGAGAATAAAGAAGGCTAGAATTTTATCGTTTCAAAAAAAAGATTCCACATAAAGCGTTCACCGTGAACTACGCTCGAGGGAACTCGTCATAAATCAAGGACCTCTTCCTAACATGGAAGGCTTCCTGAAGGAAGAGAGTACCTAGACTTGGCTATCGCTACAGCTGGGGGATCGTCATCGGCAAGGTCCTATGGCCAAGAATGTCGTCCCCTTTCCACTCCCCACTTATTACCAGCACCCGCATTTCTACGCCTCAGGCAAACACCGACCGTTATCGCGATAGTGAAGATGCAGAGCCTCAGGCGGGTTTAGAAGAATTCAAATTGTCTGTAAGAGAGCCTGTCAGCGGTGACGCGAATGAGCAGGGCTTCTTGACTGGACCTACCCGGCTGGAGACTTTACCTGCTTGGAGACGTGGACTGGCCACGAACTCTCCCTTCACTACACCTGGGAACAACGAGTCTGATAATGTACTACCATTGCTCGCCAACTCGAGTCGTGCCCCGAACTACTCTCGGAAACGGTGCAGGAAGCCTAAGCTGACCCGCTGCGTGTTATTCCCTCTCCTGGGATTCTTCGTCATGCTGTAAGCTTCCCAAGTGGCGAGGCGTTTACTACTGAGATTACTTATCACGTCCATAGAGGAATCATCCAATTCATTATTATCGCCTGTGGCATTGTCATAACTTTCTTCTCGGATGACGTCGACCGTTTCTCAGTTCTCCGTTGGCAACACGAGGAAAGATTGGGCGCGAACGCCTCTCATTGGCCCACCGATTTTACTAGAGATATTATCCCAGTTGGATGCCATTCACATAATGACTATTGGCGGCCAGTTCCCCTGTTCTCTGCTATACAGGCGGGCTGTATTGGCGTGGAAGCCGACGTATGGCTTTTCGACGACGAACTATACGTGGGCCATACCCCTTCGTCGCTGACACGGCAGCGCACACTGAGGAACTTATACCTTAATCCCTTGATACGGATACTAGAGAAACAAAACCCGATTACCAAGCTCCACCCTACTGGAGATCAGTCGTTGCAGGGGGTTTTCGACACTGACCCATCCCAAAGCCTTATCCTCCTCATTGATTTCAAAACTGACGGAGACGCGACATGGAATACGGTCGTCGAGCAGTTGTCACCCCTCCGTACACGTGGCTATCTTACCCACTTTAACGGTACAGATGTGGTCAAAGGCCCCATCACAGTTGTGGGAACGGGCAATACTCCCTTCAGCATGGTTGTCGCGAACACCACGTATCGAGACGTCTTCTTCGATGCTCCTTTGGAGAGATTGGCTGAGGACTATGACATGGATAAAGCTGGGAGTCAAGGTGTGGAAGACTACATCCCAGAGGATGAAGGGGTGATGACGGACCGGTCCAACCAGAATGTCGGTCAGGGCCTCTCGGGCTTATCCGGTGACGAGCTTGGCCCCGGCACGTTCAACTGGACCAACAGTTACTATGCATCTGTTTCTTTTAGGCAGTCGATCGGGTTTCCCTGGTTGTTCCACCTCAGTGATCGACAAATGGACAAGCTAAAAGCGCAGATCCGGGGTGCCCATCAGCGCGGACTCAAAGTTCGGTACTGGGAGTTGCCTAGCTGGCCTCGGAGCTTGAGGAATCATATCTGGACCGTTCTGGTTCGCGAAGGGGTTGATATTCTCAATGTTGACGATCTCCAGAGTGCCACTAAGCAGGACTGGAGACCCAAGTTCTCTGATTGGTGGCACTAACCTGTGCCCTGCCTGCACTTTCTGCATATTTATAAATTAGGTGTGGCTGTACAGTCAAGCAAGCCAACATGCCGCATGCACCATGTTAGGCAGTAATTTTACGACATTTTCGACGGTGTTGAGGTTCCTTTTGAGTGCATACCCTAGGAGTTGTTTTATCGTTTCCTTAGAATTTCGTGAGCTCGGGCTACTTTTACCATTTCCTACTTTAGAACAATGCAAAATGATATGATGCGAGACGATTCATGGTTTGGTATTCGGTGCATCAAATGTGATATGTAGAAAGATAAGATCGTACAGGATCCAGTTTTGGGTATCATCTGATAGACTTCCACAGTCCTCTTGTTTTTAGTTTGTGGCGGTCAGCCTGCATGCATGCATGCAAAGGGTTGGGACTATTGCCCATAATCCGAAATAGAAAGTAAACTAAAAAAAATGCACAACCAAATCACAAACAGCACAAAGCTTCTTCCCCAAATTCGTTGAGAACGGTTCCCTCCTCACGAAGAATATTACCCAGCCAGTCCTTGGCTGTTTCGAAATTATCGGCCCCGAACTTCACCAGGACAAAACCTGCTCGTACACGAGCAGCGGTGAAGGTGACCTTCGAGTCGTAATTTGGAGGTGCTTCTATAGCTGCAGGAGCGGACGATGACCAATTCCGAGCTCCGATCCGTGGCTGTGACGTAAACCGGTCCATGATGAAATTTGCAAGGTGCTCAAACACAGGTCCGTAGAGAATCAACGTTCCCACGATACCGTGAGGTCGTGTCCGCTCCCGGATAACACCGGTGCGGTTCAGCGTCTCATGCTCGTCTTCTAACGATCCTTCGTCGAGCTCTTCGTCAAGGATGAGTGAATCACGGAGCAGAAGCTTCTTCTTGCCTGATTCGTCGACGCTGTAGACTTCGTTCTTGCCTTTCCAGAGGTGGAAGTCCCAGTTCTCGCCGCGGGATTTGCGTCCCTCAGTCACCCAGTCTAGCATGCAGAGGCTGCTCCGTTGGGAGTCCTTTGTTGTGCTGTCGACTGTGAATGTTTGGACTTGTTCGTACCGACTGTCCTTGTATGGCACGGCTGGATCGGGGAGGTAGCACATTGCGGCTCCCTTTTCGATCCGTACGTCTAGTGTTTGCCGGCTCTTGTCTGATAATACTCGCCCCGGGCGCGGCGGCCCTTGACGCTTCTGCTGGGCTCTGTTTTGTAGATCTTCGTGGTTCCTTGTGGTGTTGTTACGACCATTCTTGTGAATTGTTCGAGTTTGATGGAGACCTCGATGTGGTCACCTGGTAGGAGGCCGCCGCCATAGGTGAGGAGGTAGAGGTGGACTGGACGGGAGGCGGGACATGATAGAGCGGAGGATTGAGGTACGTAGCCGGGTGTTCTTGTGAGGAGTTTGAGGGGGTATTTGTAGGTGAGAGTTGTCAAGGTAGGATTCGAAGGAGGTAGCAGTGAGAGGACAACATTGCCTTGTCCATGTTTGGCAATGGAAGACTCAAACGGTGATTTTATAGGCATGATTCTGGATGTGATCTGCATAGAGAATGGTGTCTGAGAAAAGAGAGAAACAGGACTAAGATGGGAATGAAAGAGGAAAGTTGAAAGAATGAAAATCGAAGGTGTGGATATTCACGGTATGATATACTCTGCCATTCTTGGGATCAATTGAAATATCTGTAAAATGGCGTCATGGAGAAAGGGATTTTTTTTGGGATAAATCTGATTTTCCGGGGCAGCCAAACAACGCCGAGATGCTCGGCCAGGTGATCCTGCAGACCCCCTTGAATGATTAGCTGGAAGCGGGGTGTAATGCCCTTGTGTATCAACCATTGAATTTGCAGTCTTGGCTCTGCCAATGTTGAGTTGAAGATGAGCATTCATGCCACGACGATGGAGACCGAGGAGGTTTCTATTACGGCATGGATACTGAGATTCTCCGCAGATTCTGAGGGCTTAGGGTTCGCCCCCGGGCGAGGCTTTCTTGGCGATGCCAATCATTACGCACTAGGAAGATCATACCGTTTCATTACCGTTTTGATCAATGTTTTCAATGTTTGATGACTGAGGCCACCATCACGCAACAGACAGGGGACAAAAGCTGGCGCCTGAGGCATCAGCTCACTTTCGGAGCCCGTCATCGCCAGGCACCAAAGCGCGTCTGTTTCGTCCGCCAGAACAGCTCACCGTGTTCCCACTCCCCTCACTTCGACTTTCTGGAGTCCCACTCTCGACGCATCGGAACGGTATCCTCAATGCACCTTTTTTCCCATTGAGGCTCAACACGCTTTCGCTACCACTTGTTTTTTGTTGCCTGTCCAATCGCGTACACTTGCAACACGCGCGCGCAAAGCCGCAGGTGCCGTGCGAGGAAAACTAACAATAATCGCGTTCAGCATCCCCCGAATTCCATCATCATCTGAACCCCACGTCCAAGTACGCCTCACTTCTGTCTGATAGATTATGTGTCAGTGGGAATTCAGTCGCAATGTGAACTAATGCATCTACGATGGCTATCTAGTGTTCTAAATACTTCCGACGACAATGGAGACTGAACCGCCGCTTTCAAGCCCTCAGCCCGGGCCCACTCAAGAAGCTTCATCCCCGTCAACAAACAGGAGAAAGTCTGGTCGGGTGACGCGGAAGCCTGAATTGTACGCCGAGCGTTATGCCGCCGATGATAGTGCGATTGCAGGGGGCGCCAAGCGCAAGCGTGCCGGCGGCGATGACGAGGAAGATGTAGAGGAGGCTGCAGACGCGTCCGAGCCCGATGTTGACGAGTCCGCCGATGAAGAACCCGATGAAGAAGAAATCCGAGAGAAGAGACGCGCTGCACGTAAAGCGTCATCGAAGAAAGCGACGTCCGAGCCGAAGGCTAAAGCAAAGCCTCGCAGTGCGAAGAAACCGAAAGTATCTGGTAATGGAATTGGGAGCCAGCTGGCCTTCCGACCTGCTACAAATGGAAAGAAAACCGTTTCCTCCCGCCCCAGGAAACCGATGGTGCGACCCAGCTTGGCTGCTGGTGAACGGGGCCTCTATGGTAAATTTACCGTTGTCTCCTGATCATTGTGGCGATGTGGCTAACGGGGATTATTACTGTGTAGCGGAGGTCTTTGGTAAAGGGCGCAATGCCGACACTACTGCTGCCGAATGGCTTTCGAGATACCAGAGAGAGCAGTCTCAGGCACTGCGTGATATGGTTAACTTTGTGCTTAGGTGTACGGGAACAGATCTCGAAGTAACCCAGGACCATATCAATGATGTCGACCATGCGCCGGACCGTGTAGAGGACTTGCAAAACGAATATCAACAAGAAGGAGTTGGCGAGTGGCCCCTGATCTCTAGATCGAAGAAGTTCAGGGCTTTCCAGCCGGTCTTGGAAGAATTCTTCAAGTCCTTAATCCAGACCTTTCATCACTCATCGGTTCTATACGACGATCAAAACCTCTTCGAGAATCTCGAAATTTGGCTATCTGCCATGTCAACGTCGCAATCTCGGCCTTTCAGACATACCTCAACTGTTATTTTACTGGCTGTCATGTGTGCTCTTTGCGGCATCGCCCGGGAATTGATGACATCAGTTTCTACTTCTCGCAAACAACTCGAAACTGAGAAGAAGAAGAAGTCGGTGAACCAAGGAAGAGCATCCGCTATTGAGAAGGCTATTGAAGATGGCGAAAAGAAGCTGGAGATCATCGATGACTACCTTAAAGACGGCGTCAATGTCGTCTTCGTTCACCGATATCGGGATGTCGACCCTAACATTCGGGCAGAAAGTATGGCGGCACTGGGACAATGGATACGTAGCTACAGAGAGTATTTCTTTGAGGGACAGTTCCTTCGGTACTTGGGCTGGATGTTGTCTGACACCGTCGCCCAGACACGCCTTGTCGTCGTAAACCAACTTCGCAGCTTGTATGAGAATAAAGATAACATTGCAGGCATGCGGTCATTTACCGCGCGCTTCCGTCAACGAATGGTGGAAATGGCTGCCCGTGATGCAGACATTGCGGTACGGGCCTCTTCGATTGAATTAGTGGATTTGATTCGGGAGGCTGGATTAATTGAGCCCAGCGACATTGACACAGTGGGAAGACTTGTCTTCGACTCGGAACCACGGATTCGAAAAGCAGCTGGCCGTTTCTTTGTTGCCAACGTTCAAGATGTGTTCGATTCCACGATCGAAGAAGTTCGAGACGAGATCAATGAGATGTTCGGTGAAGAGGATGAAGATGACTACGAATCGCCTAAAGGTTCGTGGATCAAGTTCAAATGTCTTGTCGACACTCTTCAATCTTACGACGAGCTTGAAAATGAATATAAACCCGACCAGCCCTCTTCTGCCTCGAAGGATGCGCTCTCCGGCACTCCTCTCAATACGCGATTTGTTCTTGTTACTGAGGCCATTTATCCTTACCTCAAAGAGTTATCTCAATGGCAATCTTTGGCAGGATATCTGCTTTACGATCATTCCCAGATTGCGGACAGTTCGTCGGAGGATGACACTTCAGGTTCCATCAAAAAGCTTTACAAGATGCAGGAAGGGCAGGAGGTCATCCTCTTAGAAGTACTATGCAGTGCTGTTAAGTTGCGTGTTCTTGAAGTCGCAAAGTCTGATATTGATAAAAGAGGCCGGAAGGTCAAGACATTGACTGATAAGATTCCTGAACTTCAAGAAGAGATCGCGCATAACCTTGCGCAGATCATCCCCCAACTCTTGAATAAATTCGGCTCTGTGCCAGAGGCTGCTTCTGCCGTTTTACGCCTTGAACATCTCGTTGATCTCGATAAGATACAAGACTTGCAGAAAGATGCTACCGCCTATACATCATTACTGAACGACATCAACAAGCAATTCTTAACGCACTCTGATCAGGATGTACTCACAGAGGCTAGTGTCGCTTTTCTCCATGCAAAGAGCTCAGACGATATGCGCGAAGCGTTGGATAATAAGATCTCGGAATTGTGGGAGGGCATGATCGATACACTCAGCACATTAGCCCGGAAGAAGGAAGTTCTGGAGGGCAGATCAATACCTGACTCTACTCTCAATCAACTTACGAATACCATGGCGAGAATTTCCAACCTTGCCAGTGTAACCGACTGCACACAGATTTTGGAAGCAACACCTTCATCTTCACGGTCAAAGGGCAAGAGCAAAGATACTGCGGAGACACCTTTCAATGTCCTTCTGCATCTGGTGGAACGTGGTCTGCGCGAGACTGAAGACGATGAAGAATCCGCCAAGGCCGAGACAGAACTTGTGAGCAGCAGCATACGGACGCTGTTGTTCTACTTCATGTGGAAAGTCCAGTCTTTGACAACTGGTCTAAGCACTGGAAAGGCTTCTTTTGATACCGAGTACTTCGAAGTCTTAACAAAGAGCCGGGAATTATTCGTTTCGACACTTGTCGCCATCATGAAGGCACGTTCTGGCTTGGATGATATACGCTTCTCGGCAACAGCAACACTCTTGGACCTACAGACCCTGTTCGGTACCCTCCGATATGCGGGACAAAAAGCCAGTAATGATGAAGACGTCATTCTCCAGACGCAGGGCCTGGTTCACGAGATCGCAGGTGAAGCTTCCAAACTCATCGCTAAAATCCACAGTGTCGCAGAGCGTACATATGCGAAGAGGCTACGTCTCTCCTACGAGCCCGCGGACGACGACGAGCCTATATCCGACTCAGAGGAGGAAAAGGACCCCGATGACGAAAACGACTCTGGTTCTGAAGCAGAAATGATAGCCACCGAGCGCCTGCGATCCAGAATCGTGGCCGAACAGCGCCTGTGCGAACTCACAGGCAAGATTGTCCTAGCGATTGTAGGCCGCGTCATTGACGCCTCCGGCGAAGAGCGCGGACAGCTCAAGCAAAGACTGGTCAAGCACAAACACGACCTAGGCCAGAACTACCGCGAAGTAGTTGCATTCCTCGAAGAGCGTAAACCCAAGAACCCCCGACCCAAGGGCAAACAACTACCTACTTCCACGGAGCCAAACCGAAATCAAAGCAGTTCAAGCAAGCGACAAGACAACGCCAAATCCGCCGAAAGAGTAGACGATGACGACGAGGACGAAGAGGAAGAGGAGGTGCATCTCGATATAGAAGAAGACGAGGACGAGGATCTACGAGCCCGAGGCTGGTAGAAGACGAGAACATCGAACCAGATAATGATGAAGAAGAGGAAGATGAAAATCATGCTGCTGCTGATCCAGACGACGATGAAGTTATGGGTGATTGATTTGCCAATGGAGTAATATTATCTGTCTATCTATGATTTCGGTAAAAGGGATGAGCTCGAGTTGCTTTTTATTTCATTCAACTTTTTTTTTAACTTATTTTCGTACAAGGGCTTTTTCCTCTTTAAAGGTGTTGGTTCGTGGATCTTTATGTCGCTCTACTATTCTAGTCATGACTGTCAGCTCTCCAGGTTTTATTAGGCCGGAACTTTTTCTTCTAATTTCCTTGCCCTTGAGTATCTCCTTTCACCGTTGTTTTTCCTTTCTTCTCTTTTCTTCATGTTGCTGTCTTGTCTTTCTATCATGCGAAGACTGTGCTTGCTGGCGTCGACTGCGATGTATGTATTGCTATGTAACTTATGACTTTGCTTTTGTATATACTTCAGGACCTTTGTTCTCCGTGTCTTAGTTCGACGATTATTTGAAAGTGGGACATCGATTGTATGTCTGGCAGTGCCGCTACTGTGTTATGGGAGAAGATAGTAGCTACACTGTTTAGATGTTGTAGATGGCAAGTAAGAAGAAAGGGATGCTTCTTTTCTTCAATGGCTGGCTATCGAACTATCCGTCGCCACGGGACCTAATCGACCTTTGAAGTATATTTGTCTATCGATATATAAGCCCGTGGATCTCCAGTATTCAAAAAAACGCCCGAATCTGCGGTTTATGATAACCACCGTCTGGATAACAATTTGACCAATTTACTGCCGCAGGAAGCGACGGACAGCACTTAGGCCAAGGAGACCACATCCCAGGAAAACCGTCGAAGAACACACAGGAAATAGGAAAAAAAAAAAAACCGAATGAACAAACGATTACGCCGGTGTATGGGATGCTACGATAAATAGGGAAGTGTAAAAGGGGTACATGATGGTGCATCTGGTTTATCGTGAACGGTCAAAGGGGAAGTAAATCATAGCAGGGATGGGAGGAAAGAAAACGTCGACTCGTGCTTGAACGTCGAAAGGGGGGAGACGAAATGGATACAGGAATGAACTTAAAGTGTTATTTTGAAGGCAGAAAACGCAACCCAAATCTCGCCTTGAACGCTACAAGACTTGATCGCCCTGCGACGTTAAGGTGGTGCTTTTGTTCGCTATACGGCGGCCGCCGCCACGAAGGATCTAGCAGGAAGTAGAATCGAATCAGATAGCCCGAGTCTCAATTGTGTCATGATTAATTTCAAATAAAATCCCGCTTTTACATGTCCATGGAGTCGCCACCGTTGGCGAAGTTGAAACCACCTGGCTGTTGTTGGGCAGTGCCAAGGGTGAATCCTGTTTGGGTTTGTTGAGGAGCAAGCTCATCGATATCACCGCCGGCCTCTTCTTCATCAGAGAAGTACTTCTCGATGATGTTGTAGGCCTTCATGTAGATCTCCTCGTTGGCGTTGTTCTGGCAGTCATGGATCTTCTCCATACCACCGGCCTCTTCAATGAATAGAGCATAGCGGTTGACGCGGGCCTCGCCAGTCTGTGCAGCCTCCTTGTCCATCTCACCAACCTTGAGGATGTTCTCAAGGCCATCCAAAGCAACCTGGATGATCTTGTTGTCGGGGCAAGCAAGCAGGTCGCAGAGCGGCTTGATGCATCCCTGAGAAACGAGGTAGCGAATCTGCTCAGGCTTCTGCAGACCACCAGAGGTGGCGTTGGAGATCGCCCAGCAAGCTTCCTTGCGGGTCTTGAAGTCGCCGTTGGCGAGCAAGTTGATCAGCGGGGGAATGATGCCAGCATCGACGACAGCCTGGATCTGGCTAGAGTTGCCAGCAGTGACGTTGGAAATAGTCCAGCAAGCCTCCTTACGGATACCATCCTTGGTAGAGCTGAGGAGAGAGAGGAGGGCGGGGAGAGCACCGCAGTTGATGATAACCTGGGTCTGTACGTCATCACCGGTCACAATGTTTCCAACAGACCGAAGAGCAGGAGTCTGAACGGAGGTCGAGGCGTGCATAAGAAGCTCAACAAGGCGACGAGGGATGCCTGCCTCGATAACAGCCTGGATTTTATCGTTCGCACCATCGGAGAGGTAGGAAATAGCCCAGCAAGCATCAATGAGGACTTCATCATCAAGCATGTAAATAAGCTTGGCGAGGACAGGAAGAGCAGGAGCGATCTAAAATGGTATTAGCCAAGTTCGCTTCTTCGTAGTGTCTGTAAGGCAACATACCGTGTTCCAATCGGGCTGGGGGGTCTTGCCACGGCAGAAGTTACTCAAAGTCCATGTAGCGTTGCGCAACATGCTCAACTTCCGGCCATCGTTGATCAAGTTCAAGAGAGGACGGAGGGCACCAGCGTTGAGGACGAAGTCACGGCATTGAGGGCTATCACCAGCGATGTTACCCAGAGCCCAAACAGCCTGCTCCCGAACATCAGGTTCCGGGCTGCTCAACAGCTCGACGAAAATGGGCACAGCACCGGCTTCGATAACCACCTGGGTTTGCTGAGCAGATCCAGATGCAATGTTGGTCAAGGCCCAGGCGGCCTCGAATTGAACTAGAGTATGAGGAGAACGAAGGAACTCAACGAAACGGCTCACGACACCAGTCTCAATAACACGCTCGATGGGAGGGTTGCGCTCCTTGGAAAGCAGTTTCCTGAACTTAGTTGTGGCTTGAATCTGCGACTCGATCTGATCTGAGAAGACACCCTTAACCATCTCCGGTAGTTCCACATTGAGCTTAAAAATATTTCATTAGCCATTTGATTTCTAGAAGCACAAAGACCAACAGGATTGATGAGTGAAAGGTGGTCGTGTGCTCCATCCTGAAGCTCACGACCAGTCATAGGGCGGTGAAAACCTCGTCGCTAGGCGCATAAGGGAAATAAAAAACAAAAAAACAAAAACAAGACAAGCGCTTGGGCGAATACAAATTGATATGTATTTAGAGTAATGCGAATAGAAACGAATAATAGAACCTCAGATAGAGCATACCTCGCTTTCTATGGCAGTGGCTTCATCATCACTCTCGGCGGCAGCGGCCATGCCTTCTCCCACACCAATCCCACCATCGCGGGTCTGGATACCTCTCCTCTTGGCCAAATTCTCTTCTCTTTTCTGCTTGCGAATTTCAACTTGCTGCTCCTCACGACGACGACGAAGCTCGTCAGGCCGGAACTGATTCCTAGCCTTGAACTGGGTGCGACGATGCTCTGGGATGTAGCGCTCGGCCATGGTTGCTTAGGACACTGAGGGGTGAAAACAAAGCGCACGAACCACTGAGGTTCTAGATGAGAGAAAAATTTAGAAAGAAGAAGAAAAATCAAAGGAAATTAATCAAATGATAGCAGCCCACAAGTTGATGAGCAAGTGTCAAATAAGATAGGAAGACTAGAAGCCTCACTGGGGGAAATATGCGGGCAAAAGACGAAGGAGGGGAAAAAAGTGTTGATGCTTGCTTTGGCCGGAGGTGGGATTGTTCAGTCACGGGATAGGCTTCTGATTTGCTGTTTTCGGCCACGCCCACTGTCAAGCGCCACACCCGCCTAAGCGAAGTTAGCGCCGAGCAACTGGTGAGACGCTTTGTCTCGCCGTCTACATCTTTTTGGGATTGGCCTCCTGGCTTTCACACGTTTTGCATTATAGCATATCGTGCCTTCTTTATAGGGGATCTAAGTCCTTCCCCAGCTGCAGGCGCAATCAGATATAGCTACAGAACCGTTTTAAAGAACCATGAGCTTGTCACGCTCAACTATAACATAAGTTGTGACATGGCGAGCAATTCGTCGTCTTCTACCGTGATTGACATACCCGCTGCTCTTCGATCACAGGGAAACGTAACTGTAATTGGGGTAGTTGTCGATGTTTTCCAAGGCGTGTTCAGGACGGCGAACTCGCTTTGTATAACCTTCACTTTGAAGTCTGATAATCTGAAGAATGGACATGTGTGGGATGGACTGAAAGTCAAGTATTTTAAAGATAACGAGTCTCATCTGCCTCCTGTGCAAGAGGGTGATGTAGTCCTGCTGCGGAACCTCTGGGTGTGTTGCCCAATCTTTGATATCCAGGCCTACGCTGACAGATTAAACACAGATTAGAAATTACAACGGTAAGCCACTAGGGATTGCAGGGGACAGAGCGAACGTACCATGGGCTATCTTCCGCTTTGACCCGGACCCATTGTGTACTAGTGCACCTATTTCTGGACCAACTCCCTTTGAGCCGTCCTATACGGAGAAGAGACGATGTCAGAGCCTACTAGAAAGTATTTCTGGGCTCTCAGAGTTTCGAAATGTTTCTGCTTCACAAGTGACAGCTCCCCAGTCCTTCACCTCCGAAGCTTCAAGCTCGAGGCAGGATTCCCGGACACAAAGGAAGCTTACCTCTATAAAGGATATCCGAGAGGGTACACTTGTGGACATGATCGGTGAAGTAGTCAAGTTGTACCCCCAGAACAGCGAGAAAGCACTCTTGTACTTGAGCGACTATACAACAAATAAGAAGCTGCAGGATCATACATCTATAGATGATGACCCTGGTGGCGATTCGTTCTATCGGAGCAGGAAGAAATGGACCGGTCCACAAGGCCAAATGTCTCTGCCCGTAACATTATGGGAGCCACATGCGAGCTTTGCCCGAGAAAATATCAAGGAGGACGATATTATCAGTTTGAAATATGTTCATATCAAGGCAAATCGTCACAACCTAACGCTCGAAGCTAGCATGCACAGCGCGCGTTTCAATAACGTGCACTTAGTGGATCCTGAAAAGAATGATCATGCCAAAGAGCTTCTACGTCGGAAGAAGGATTACTACAGAGGAATCAACACTGGAAAGCGGAAGGCTGAAGAAGATGCTAAGCCAACAGAGGGTCTAAAAGCCCGCAATAAGAAAAGACTGGGAGGCATGAGAGAAGAAAGCGAAGCAACTCGACAATTGAAAGAGCGCAATAGACCTAATGAACATGGTAAGGCTGCCGCACTAGGGTTGATTGATGTATAGACAACTGATTGAGCCACAATTGCAGTAAAAGCTAGTTATGAAGGCGTTCGTGGACGGAGGATCGAAGATATCGTTACAAGCGAATTCCATGAGTTTGAGTCCCATGACGGTGTCGAGTATCGTCTTCCATTTCAGAATCTATGTTACAAAACTACTGTTCGTGTTGTCGACTTCTTCCCTCCAGATATAAAAGATTTCGCAGTCCGTCAAGAGCCTAAGGAGAATCACTCAGGCAGCGGCATGTACCAACACGCAGAAGACGATGGTATCACTCAATGGGAATGGCGTTTTTGTCTCCTCATTGAGGACGCATTACCCCCTCCTCCTGGGCAGCCAAAAGAACAGATCAAACTTTTTGTGTCGGATGCCAACGCAGAATTTTTGTTGAAAATGAGTGCAACCGAGTAAGTCCTCTAACCCCCCCCCTCCCTCCTGCTTTCTTTCTTCTTATTCCTCCTCCTTCCCCCCTCCGACCTAGTGCCCTTTGCTGATTTTGTCATCTCCAACCAGCTTGCGCACAGACTCAGAGCAGTTGGCGATTCTACGGGAGCGGCTTTTCATTCTTTGGGGTGATCTCGAGGAACGGAAGAAGAAGAATACTGAAGAAAATGACCAAGGCCCTCCGAAGCTGGACCGCGCCTCCTCAAGACCATTCGTGTGCTGTATACAGGAGTACGGTGTCAAGTGTTCCCATCTCTCAGACGCAGATGCAATGTCTGACGATAAGTCTGGATGCAGTCGCGAGGATTGCTTCGGTTGGGAAAGGAGGTTCGGTATGTTTCAGACGACCATTGATTCATGAGTCGGCATTCGTGTATTTCTATACCCTTTTGCGCTGGTTTCAAATTGGATATTATCATGGCTCTTGCTATGATAAGTTTCACTGTAGAGCTATTTTGGTCTGATGAAGTTTTGCAAAAAACAACTCAAATCTATCAGAAGATATACTATCTTCTCTCGTGTAACTGCGTAACGCAGTAAACCTCATTTACGAGTAAATACAACCCACTCGGCTCGAGCGGCGAAAAGGTGCGTGTATACATATCAACCCCGAGAATCATCCTTTATAGAGCAGAAACAGGCTTAGATGCAGGGAGACTAATTAGAACAGAACGCCGATACCTAAGCAAAGAATCCTCGTAATAATAACGAGTATAAGAAGGCGAGTGTTTATGATGATCTCTGCTGGCGCTAAATAGTGGTGAGCCCGAATTGTGGTCTTTAGGTCCACAGCTCGATTTAGGTGTGGAGGTACTAAACTTTAGTCACTTTGACGATGTTGGTGTCGATTCCGTGCGCCGAAATGTCGAATCGACAGCTTGAACCCCAATAACAATCTTTCTTACCGGGTTCACTCTGAGGGCAGCGATGTCCATACATACATTCAGGATCATCACACTCCAGCCCATAACGACACGGAGTCATACGGGCGATGGCTGTCAAAATCATATATTCGGTCTTGGTCAATTTCCGCGAATGATCGTGATGGCAGTTTTCATTAGGCATTCGCCTTGTAAATAGTAAAAATTGCACAATTTCAGTTTTTTAATGCGGTTTACCTCTCCCGAGGGATGGTCTTAAAGTCAAGTCGGTCTACACGCTGGCCGTACTTGTTTCGTTCCACGATTTTGGGGGGTGGCGGGACAGATGATTTCGATCGCACAACCTGAAACTCCCCGGAGTTAGGTGTATTCGTGGATGAGGTAGATATGGGCACGCTGTTACTGGTTGTCGTGGTATTGGTTGACGTTCGAGAGAGAGTTACATGCTGGACGGGCGACGGGGTGAGGAGAGCGCGAGGTTTGCTAGCCACCGCAGCTTTCCAAGGTGCCCATACAGATATCTTCGTATCTCGGAAAAGATCCGAGATCTTAGTGACTCTGTACGATGTTTTTATTAAGTCCAGGTCGCTTGCAAATGGGAGGCCCTCAATCAGAGAAACTCGGCCTATGAGGTCTCTATCGGCCAGTGTGTCTTCCAAAATTTGAGCATAAGCACTATCCTGCGAGCAACCCAGGAATATCTGGTGGCAATGGCAGTTGTATAAATTTAGTCTGAAAGCCTCTAGAAAGGCGGGGAGAACAACGATCAGTATCTGTCAACCAAACAGACAATAGAATCTCATTTGACATACCTCCAATTTTATCATGAGCGCTCTCTTTCCCAGGACCGATATCGACCAAATCAAAGAGAGGATAACTAGCATTGAAACCCCGGACAAAATCTTCGATCAAGGAAGGCTCGGTCGTGACGCCGCCACGGACGCAAAGGTCGCTTAATCCCTTCACATTGACATACATCTTTGTGATTACCTTCGGAGAGTTGATGGTCGGGAAATTGCCGGAGACGTAGTCCTGTAAGGCCGAATGGAGCTTCTTCGCCGCATTCTGTCCACCTTGTTCTCCTTGTTGCAGATATTCGTCCTTAAAGATGATTCCACCACCATCGAGAAGCACGACTATGAAGGGTTCCCGGTCCTACCGTGCAAGCGCCGACATCGTTAGCATAGTGATAGATAGAGCGCTCCATCGATATCAGCTCTCACCATAATAGTTTTAATTCTTGATATCTGATCCATTAACTCCATTTCATGGAGCTGAATGTCCCGATTAAAGCGCGTCTCGCGCTCATGGTCCAGCCGCTCTTGTTGATATGCATCCTCAAGCTCCGTCACACGTTGCAACAGTTCCTAGTGGCCGAGGAAGAAGGTTAAAGATTAGGTAGAGAATCAGGATAAGCGCCATGATTGGAGAGGCTACCTCAATCAGATTATTTTTTATGTCTTCTATTGAAGTCAACTGTTTATATCGTTCGAGATAAGCTTGGGCAGTCATGATGGGTTTTGTTGGTTATAGCTAGGTATGGGTGTACTGTGTGGAGATGGGAAAGTCAAAGTAAGTTAATTGCGGAGACGGGGTTTAGAAGAGGAGAATGGGAAGGTCGATGAGGCTGGAGGAAAAGGGAAGAGAGAATATATGTTTTCTATATGTATAAGAATAGAGGAGGGGTAAGCAAAGTGAATCGTTACGCGCGACACTTCCTTCACAACCCGATTTACATTCACCACCAAGTCTTATACAGTCCAGTTGGAAGTCCAGTAACATAAGTTTCGGGGGATTTATTTTTTGTTGCTAACCTCAGGAACTGAGGCAGCGCCAAAAGGACCACCAGTCAGAATGCAGTGGGTAGGCTGAGTCAGCTGGTCTACCCGCCGGTTTCTTATGGGGAAGTCGTGACCTGCCTGACTAAGGAAAAGACAAACTAAACGCCTACGTGGAGGAAACCACTTCAGCCCTTGTTCACGATCTACTGGTACTTCCATTCCCACTCTGCATTTCCCTTCCTTCCCCCTCCCTTCCCTTTCTTTTTGTCTTCATTTCTTTTCGGAACGTTTCTTTTTCTCTTTCCCCTCTTCTTCTCCACATTGGACTCTTGGACCGATCAGAATGGCTCGTTTCAGCTTCCTGTCGTTGGCTTTGCTCTCTGCCCAAGCCTTGATCGGCGGCAGTTTCGCGGCGGTATGTTGCCATTGTTCCAGATACCATCGCCTACTGATATCAATTGCGTCGCTAACACATCAATTGTCATGTATAGGATGCTGAAAAGGCAGAAGAGAGTGTAGAGACTCCCAAGCTCGCTCTGACGGCGCAGACTACTTTCCCTGCTTCCGAGATCTTCGGTGTCAAGATTGTCAACGGTTACCCAACCCAGGCGCTTGTCGCTTTCACCAATGATGAGCCTGCCCCCGTGAAGGTGAACTTCATCGGTGGCACCTTGTCCACCCTGGATGAGGACAGCACGATCGTGCGCAACTTGACTGCAACTGGATACAGTGTGGAGATTCCCGCTGGCGAGACGGAGACCCTGAGCTATCAGATTACCACCGAGATGCATCCCCAGGACCTTAGACTTAGCCTTGCTTCTATCATCTCCGATAGCGAGGGCAGATTCTACACCGTCTACGCCTACAACGGCACCGTCAGTGTTGTGGAGCCCGAAACTAGCTTCTTCGATCCCCAGATGTAAGATGGACTGCTTGTCGCGTTCGCAAACAATCGCTGACTATCAATCTTAGTCTTTTCCTGTATTTCTTCCTCCTGGCCTGCTCCTCCGGTGTTGTCTACTTCTTCTACACTGTCTGGGTCGCTCCTTACTTCCCCCAGAAGCGCAAGAGTGGAAAGGGTGCTGAGCACTCCAAGAAGACTTCTGGTGCTGCGAAGAAGGCCGAGACCGTCGAACCCAGCAGCCCGGCAGTCTCGTCAGCCACCACCTACAATGCTGATTGGATTCCCGCTCACCACATTAACCGCCCTGAGGCCCGGAAGGTGAAGGGTAGCACCCGATCCAAGAGCCGTGCTTAAAGGAGTCAACGGCAGCGCTGTTGTGGAATATAGAGGGAAGAGTGGGGCCTCATTTTATTTCTTGGACCTTGTATGGTTATTACACCGATTCTTGTGGGAGTTTACCAAGCTTGGGACCAAAGATCGCTGAGAATGTGATCGATCGCAAGCCACTGCCATCGCTGATTGGGGCATGTATATTTACGACAATTGAAATTAGTAATTGTAGCTTCTAGAAGCTCAGTCCTTTACACAACTGTGTCAAATGGAAACAGTCGATCCGTGCCTGCTTCTACTTTGGTTTCTCGACGATTCGTACAACTCATGATATCATGGCCATTTCGCCCTTTGTGTGCCTTCCTCCGCTTACAGGCGCTTCCACTCGTCGAACTCCTTCTCTAAATGTATCTTCAACTCGGAAAATTTGTTCCCAAATTCCCTCCCACAACGCCAGCATGTGTAATCTCGTCGCAAATAGCCCTCTCTACCAGGATGTCGCCTAACATCGTCTTGCGCCAGGGGGAAATCATCGATAGGGACGAAGAACGGCGTAGAAAAACTATTGTAATGTTTCTTGTGTTTCAGTCGGTCGCTGTACCTGTCCACCGAGATAACATGGATATGTAGATGATTCATAGACGGATGCGCATGGATTCCGCACATGATCTCTTGTTCCCAGTTTCGTCCCGGCGGCAGTTCATCCAGAGGAGGATCTGCACTAAGCGCCTCTTGCCTCTCTTTATCTTGAGCGGAGCCTTTCCCATATCTCCGTCTGAGCTCAGCCGCGGCTAAAGATCGAAGTTTTTTTGTCTCTTCTTTCACTTTTTTCAGAAACTCAGGATCTTCGAACGCTTCGAAAGGATGGAGACGGGTTTTGGAAGCATCCCGCGGAAGTAGAAGTAGATGGAGAGTTGATTTTGGGAAAAGGTCGTAAATCGCGACGAAGTCTCATTGTGATATACAACGACACTGGAAGGGAAAGATTCCGGTTTTGCGATATAGGCGCCCAAGCCGTCGCGCGGGCCACCGATGGCTCTCTTGTTTGATGAATCTTTGGAAGGGCCGTCTTTTGCGTACTTTGCATGCTTGGGTTTAGGGGCGAGGAGCTCGGCGACTATATAGATTAGCCTTTTTCTTAGAATATACAAGTATTGCAAGCATGATCAGTTGCATACATACAGGCATCCCTTTTCCCCGATTTTGATTCTGCCGCGGTGGTCGCAGCTGCCGCGCCTTGGTCTTCTGGGCTTGGTGAATCGTCTGCCATAGTGGGTGTATATATTGCGATTATGGTGTAGGGCCTATTTGGCCGTCAGATGTGGTTAAGTTGTCATGGTTGTGCTCGGAGTAGCAAGTGACTGCGGAGGAGCGAAGCTGAACCAGAAGGCGATCCGCGGCGACTTCCCCGCAGCCCTACGGCCCAAAAAAAGGCGGCCCTAGTGCGGAACAGCCAAACTTCCGCTTTAACAGCAATTCAATCCACTCGCTTCTTTATCGAAAGGTGTGATTGCTCCACGGGCGTCTTCTTTAAGATAGCAAATTACCGTGGTAGAATGGGCCCTAAGAAGAAAGCCGACGCCCGTGGAGGAGGTCCCAAACCGGGCACCAAGCAAGCCAAAGCCGCCGCAGAGAAAACGGCGGCTGAAGCTGCAAAGAAAGCGCAGCCTCCACCAGATGAGCAGAAGAAACCCTCTGTTAAGCAGGTTATCGGTGGCGCATCATGGACCGGTAAACTACCGGTCAATATGATCGCAGAGCATTGTCAGAAGCAGAAGTGGGAGAAGCCCGAGTATACAATGGTGAGCAATGGACGGATAGGATGTTCTTAGCATAACATGCGGCCACACGGCACAAGTTTAGTTCAACTTTGGGCTAATAGTTTCTACCACATACTAGACAAAAACACCAGAAGGTTATATGTCAGCGGTTATATTGAAACGTGTCGACCCCAAGACTCGCGAAGCAACTACCCTTCCTCCTATGAAGCCTCCTCCGTCACACAAGCATTTGGCTGCGCAACCTACGGCACTGGAAGCTCGTCACTTTGCTGCTGCGTTCGCTCTGTACCGGGTCTGCAACATGAGGAATATTCATATGATGCTTCCGCCGACCTATAAGAAGCTCTGGAAAGAGGATTTTGCTGATATCAAGACTGCCGATACCAAAGAAGGCAAAGGGTGGATGTACGAAGCAGACCCATTTTTGGCTAAACAGGAGCGTGAAAGTGCCGCGGCCGATTTGGAGAAAAAACGGAAAGAGCGAGAAAAAAATCAGGCTAAGGCGAAGGATCAAGCGGCGGTTGAATTGGGCCTGGGGTCCAGCGGTGATAATAGAGGGAAAAGGATCTGGTCGAACGCCCCGAAAGTGGATCTGGGGAGTAAAGTGCGCAGAGAAATTGAGAATCTCTTGCAACAACATGCGATTTGGAATCCTTATAACGTGAAAATTCCGGAATCCGAGCGTAACTCCATAATCGAGGAGTTCACTCGCTTGGGCTTCCGGCGCAGCCATGTAGATGAGGCGAGTTCTGCATGCAAAGACAGAGAAGAGGTGCTTGAGTGGCTTCTGATCTATGTTCCAGAGGATGATCTTCCATCTTGGTGTCTACCTGAGTCATACTCTGCTGGCGTGAGTCTAGCGAGTGATGATCTTGCAAGAGAGGCGAAGATCAAGCGGCTGGCCACCATTGGCTATTCTGCGGACCTTTGCTCGCGGGCCCTGGACAGCAAGCAAGGTGATGAGCTTGCAACTGCTGAAATGTTACAAAACACATTAGTGCATGGAACGACTTCTTTTGCAGGCTCTATATCTGATGAAGGTGATGATTCCTGGGCCGAAGAACAGGAGACTCTCGAAGCTATCTTCGGGGAGCGTTATAGTAAGGTATCGCCTAAGGTGTGTGCGATCAAGAGCGAGTCCTCAGACTTGCCCGAGTCAACTACATTCCGCTTCCAAAGGCCCTCAAATCATTATCCATCCTCAGTGCCGATTATTTCGATACAAGCGAAAGGAATCCCTTCTTATATACGACTTAGCGCGATCCGTCAAGCAGTGAAACATGCAGAGGAAAGCTTTTTGGGAGAGCCAATGGTATACAACTTGCTTGACTGGCTAGAGATGCATCTTCCGGAGGTCATGCAAAATCCGGGCAAGTTGCGAGATATTGCAACGGTCGCCGCAACATCATCTACCACTGGAGGTAACTTAGAACTTCCTGTGCGCCAATCTCGCAAGAAGAATAAGGAGATTAGCTGGCAACCGGGCTCGCCTCAGAGTATATCTGTTCGAGAGGCCTGGCAGGCTAGACAGTCTACGCCGGCCCAACAGGACATGACTCGAAAGCGAGAATCACTTCCCGCTTGGAACATTCAAGATGCTATCGTACGTGCAGTGAATTCACATCAGGTTACTATCATCTCTGGTGAGACAGGTAGCGGTAAAAGTACCCAGTCCGTTCAGTTCATATTGGATGATATGATTAGGCGAGACCTTGGTGGCATTGCGAACATTATCTGTACGCAGCCACGTAGGATCTCTGCTTTAGGTCTTGCGGATCGTGTGAGCGATGAGCGATGCACCTCTGTAGGAGAGGAGGTTGGATATATCATTCGAGGTGACTCCAAGGTCAAATCTGGGGCGACGAAGATCACTTTTGTCACAACTGGTGTTTTGCTTCGTCGTATACAGTCTGGAAGCGGTGCGGATGGGAATGTTGCAGGATCCCTCGCAGATGTCACACATATCGTAGTGGATGAAGTTCATGAACGGAGTCTTGATACCGATTTTCTGCTCGCCCTCCTACGGGATGTTCTTCGGTACCGCAAAGATATTAAGGTCATACTGATGAGTGCAACGCTTGACGCAGAAATCTTCACCAACTACTTTGGTGGCCGCCAAAATGTTGGACTGGTGAATATTCCTGGGCGGACTTTTCCTGTGTCTGACTTTTACCTGGACGACATCATCCGTGACACGGGATTTTCACCTGAGTTGGCTGAGCGGGACTTTGAGGAAGACTCTTCTCAGGGCGAAGAGTCACTTGGCAAGATTCTTCGGAACATGGGCATGGGAATCAATTACGAGTTGATCACGTCCACAGTCCGCTACATTGACGCCCAGCTTGGAGATCGACCTGGAGGGATTCTCATCTTCTTGCCCGGTACCATGGAAATTGAAAGGTGCCTTAACGCCGTGAAGAGAATTCCTAATGCCCATCCACTTCCTCTGCATGCATCCCTTCTCCCAGCTGAGCAACGGCGTGTATTCCTGAGTCCCCCGAAAGGAAAGAGAAAGGTTATTGCAGCAACCAATGTTGCTGAGACATCAATCACAATCGAGGATGTTGTCGCGGTTATCGACACTGGCCGCGTCAAAGAAACGAGTTACGATCCTAAAGACAACATGGTCCGACTACAAGAAGTATGGGCATCACAAGCGGCATGTAAGCAACGACGAGGACGTGCTGGTCGTGTTAGGGCTGGTGCATGCTACAAGCTCTACACACGGCAGGCAGAGAATAAAATGGCACCTCGACCAGACCCAGAAATCCGCCGGGTACCATTGGAGCAATTGTGCCTCTCCGTCAAGTCTATGCAGGGCATCAACGACGTCGCGACTTTCCTGGCGAATACCATCACTCCTCCTGAAAGCGTGGCCGTTGAAGGAGCCTTGGGCTTCCTTCATCGTGTTGGAGCCCTGGACCATGACAAATTGACAGCCCTTGGACGATACTTGTCGATGATCCCCGCCGACTTGCGATGCGCCAAACTCATGGTTTACGGTTCCATCTTCAACTGTATAGACCACTGCATCACCATCTCCGCAATTCTAACAGTGAAGAGCCCCTTCGTCTCCCCCCGCGACAAGCGCGAGGAAGCAGACGCTGCCAAATCATCCTTCTCCCGCGGAGACGGCGACCTCCTCACCGATCTCACAGCCTACCAACAATGGTCAGAGCGCGTCAAGACCCAAGGATACTGGCAGACGCAATCATGGTGCAGCGCCAACTTCCTCTCTCATCAAACCCTCCGCGACATCTCCTCCAACAAAGCCCAACTCCTCACCTCCCTCAAAGACGCCGGCCTCCTCCCAGTCGACTACTCCTCCGACCCCGCCGACCCGCGCTGGAACCGCAACGCAGGCAACCGAAGCCTCCTCCGAGCCCTAATCGCCGGTGCCTTCCAACCCCAGATCGCGCAGATCTCCTTCCCGGACAAGAAGTTCATGAGCTCCGTCACCGGAACCGTTGAAGTCGACCCAGACGCAAGAACGATCAAATACTTCAACCAGGAAAACGGCCGCGTCTTCATCCACCCCAGCTCTCTCCTGTTCTCGGCCCAGAGCTACCCCGGTTCGGCAGCGTACCTAAGCTACTTCACCAAGATGGCGACCAGCAAGGTCTTCATTCGTGATCTAACTCGTAAGTTCCCTACACTTATCTCTGCTCTGTTTTCCGCCTCCATTCTGGAATATACTCAGCGAAAGCATGCACTGCATATGAATTGACCGTTTACTAATTCATCGGATACTAACAGCGTTCAACGCCTACTCTCTCCTCCTCTTTTGCGGATCCATCGATCTCGATACGACGGGCCGGGGCCTTATTGTTGACGGCTGGTTACGGCTCCGTGGGTGGGCGCGAATCGGTGTGCTTGTTTCTCGCCTACGTATGATGGTGGATGAGATTATTGCGGCGCGGATTGATAACCCTGCCTCTGGGCCTCTGTCTATCGAAAAAGGGAGTGGTGAGAAGGATGATATTGCGGGTCGGGTAATTGAGGTTGTGAAGAGGTTGATTGAATTGAATGGGTTGGATCAATAGTGGTTTGACTGGCTTGATTTTACTTGGATAAAACATGGATAGCGCTAGTGAGGTGAGGTCTAGAAAAGTTCCTTTAGAGTAAGATATAGACGAGATAAAACTACTGTCATGGTGGCGCCCTGGCAGACTACCAGATCTATATATCTATATAAAGTGCGATCCATGCAGATCAGACCCTAGGGTTTGGTCATAAACCTCATTTTACTTGTGGTAGACGCTAAAGTTGCTGATGTTTTAGACGCGCGTTGCGCTAAGGTGGTTACGATGTCTGAATCTTAGAGAAGCAGCGAGATCGAACGACCGTCCAAAGAACTAGGCGAGACAAGGATAAGCAGATGATCGAAGAGCTGGTTGACCGGCACTACCATAGAACTACTAATACTACTATATCTATCCGACGAACCGATTGATATCCTTGTATATCTCAAAGATACGGTCTATCTCCATACTATTTATTACCAGAACCCGACCCAAATATAAAACTTCACATTCGCAATCTAATTTTTCGGTATACAGGGAATCAGATGAGGTGATATCTGTCTTTATCTTTGAGAAAGTTAGTGAAATAGCTCTTATCCCCGGGTATTACACCAGGATAGACAGTAACTTGTAATTATAAGTCAGAGCAATTGTTAACTTAGCAGGGTTTCTACCTAGACAACTTGAGCAGCTTCTGAACTACAAGAACCTTTCCGAATGCGACCTACTAGGGCTGCCAGCTCAAGTGACTGTGATGGAATCGCATGATACAGGAACTGCCCCAGATATGTAAATATCCACCATATAACACTAGAAACGAGCTGCCAGTAATAATTATTTTAACAAACAGACCAAGCAGTCCAGTCAGTCTATCCAACCCAGTCAGTCTATTCAATCCAGTTGGTTCAGCTAGTTCAGCCAGTCTAGCTAGTCTAATCAGTCTAACTAGTCGAGCCAGTTGAATCAGTTCAACTAGTCTAACAGGTTCAACCAGTCCAACCAGTCCAACCAAGCATCCAAGTAGAAACAGAAAGCGGCCGGGAACGGCAGATTTAAAGTCACGTGACACATGGATTGAGCGATCGATAAAAAGCCCCAGATAGTGACCAATCAGAATCGAGATCGTCAGATCCCAGTTAGAAGTAACTGGGGACCCTACAATAGCCTAGATGATAATAATATCATTATTTAAGTATTATCATTGAAAGGAGTATCCGCAGTGACTACGATCAGGTGCCGGAGACGGCTTGTCGGTCACGGGGCATAACTGTTAGGGAGGAAAGAGGAAAGGAGCTATGAAAGGGAATGGAATCCATTCATTTATGAATAGTAATAAATAAAGCATAGGATTGAACAGATGATTAGCAGACAATATTCATTCTTTTGAATCCAATATACAGAAGGATCCCAAAGTGGGTATATCAATACTCATCTGGCAGTTGCTGGATCGTTCTTTCCTTGCACCAGGGTTGCGCCCTAACGCTTGCGTTTCTTGTTCTTGTCAATGGCAGCAGATGACGAAGCAGCAGAAGCAGCAGCCACAATGGGCTGTGTATCGCCATTGACTGAGCTAGTAGCTTCAATGGATTTCTTCACGGGAACTCCCATGTGACGACCGTAGCGGCCTTTGCGACCATTTCCTTCATCTTCACTGATACAGCCTTCGATGCCAATCCCAGCATCCTTGCACCGCCCGCAGGGACGTTGACGATCGCAGCCCTTCTTGCTTTTACGGCAGCGTTGGCAGCGCGGCTTGGTTGACAGGTCTTCTTCGTCCGCAGCCAACTGGTGCTGGAAATTGACCGATGAAGTTGAGGTCTTTCGTGTAGGGGCAGGGCTAACCATCTGCGGGGGCACGATGGGCTTTTGACTAGTCGCAGCTGGCATGGACTTCACCTTACGAGCAGCAGCGGGTGCACCCTTGTTGATTTTATGTTGCCGCACAGGTGCCGGCTTGGTTCCTCGAGCCTTGCTAGAAGTGGCACTATTTGCCCGTGTCTTAGCCTTCTTCGGTTTGGGGGCAGACTCTCTGTAAAGAGAATCATCGTCGGCCTCATTTTTGATCAGGCTGTCCTGATAATCATCCTGCTGGTACTCCTCATCGCCATCACTTCCATCAGAGCTGTCGAAACTGGGGAGAATGTCATCTAAGCGCTTGTGTGTGCACTTAGTAGCGCCCGGCGGAAGCATCGGGCTCGAGTCCACCCTCTGTCTGCTCCGTGCGGGCAGGTCGTCATCCTCTTCGCTGAAATCCTCGCCATCACTAGTCGCTCCCGTCGAGGAGGCCGCATCGGCAGCGCCACTAAAAGCATCATCAAGGGTTGAAGCGGATGTGCGACCATGGGAGAAATTTGAGGCGTCGCCTAAGCGGATTAATTGCATTGCAACATCCTCGTCAGATATGCAGCTGGCAATAGTAGGGTCTGGGGTTGGGAGAATGCCAGACCCGGCACCATTGCCTGCTGGGTTGCTGAACTGCCTGATGACTGGGTTGCGGTCCGCTCACGTAAGCGGTGTCCATGTTCCGGAACCACTGGAGTGGCATAGATATTATTCCGCATAGAGTTGTACCCATATATTTGATCGTTATGTCCGTAGCTTTGTGGTGAAGGTAATGGTTGTTGATAGCTGTACGGGCGTTGAGTGGGGCGTGCGAATGGGGAGATGGCACCTTCTTGGCCGATGGATCGGCGTTGAGGGGAGATCGACGAGGTAGATGTAGTGAGAGGGACCTGAGGAGGAACGAATAATGGCAGCTCCTTCAACGCCAAGGAAGTAACCAGGTTAGCACAATGTTTATCGGTTGACGAGAGGTCAACCGGGACAAACTAACCGAACTCTCAAACTTAGGCCGCTTGCGGCGGCCATCTTGGAGGATATTGTCCATACTGATATCTGAGCTGCCCAGCTGTTCACTACGGGACTTCTTGCCCCCTGAGACAGATCCATATCCGCCCTCACTGTCACTGTAGAGAGAGGCCCCATCGTCATGGAAGCTACCATGTGTGCTGGAGCCCCTGCTCTTGTTGCTCGCTCGAGAGAGCTGCTTGTGCTGCGAAGCGCTACGACGGCTTCTTCCAGATGGTGACATACTGCGCTTCCGAGCGAGTCTAGAGCCTGGCCGAGAAGGGGGCTGGTGATCTGGGATCTGCGCCGACTGCATTGCGGGCGCCATCTGGAAAGGCTCGCCAAGACTGGGGCGTTTGCGAGCCTCGACTGGCATATGCCCATAATAGCGATCACCGTAGCCTTCTGTGTATGCTTGGACGGGGATTACCCGCACATACACCGTCATGTTATTTCTTAAGTTCTCATACCTAGCAATAAGTGTGGTGCCGTGCTCATCCTCAAAACTGACACCGCTCGCAGCGCCATCATAGATCCCATAGAAATTCTTGACTGTAGTCACAATCGAGTCTGTGGTGTCATGGGGATATATTTGCACTCGCATGGGGATACGAGCCCGAACCTTGGAGTTCTCATCGACAAGAGCTCGAAGGCAACGTTCTTGGGGATAGGGCTCTTGCGGGGGGACTCCTGGGGCGCATGATCTGTCCAGATGGGCGACTCGCCAGGAGCAGGGTGTCGTTCGTACTGGACAGCCTGCATGATAGGATAGTCCAGGAGGAGAGGCTACCACAATTCTGCTACATCAATGATTCGATTAATCGAATGTTCGAATAGGGTGCGAGAGTGGATCCGGCGGCGAGGGTGGGGAAGAGGCAAGAGGCAGAGAGAGCGGCCAGGAGGGAGGGAGGGTATGGGCAAAATCCATCCAAACCTACCACAAGAAGGAGACCAGAGAGGGTTGGTTGATAGATGGATCACCCGCGATTAATCTACGAGAGTGATGGATGGGGGAGGGTTGTGTATGGGATGAGGGTACCCCAAGTCGCAACAGCCGAGAGCGACTGACGAGGGAAGAAAAAAGCGTTGAAAACCTAGTCGACAACCACCACCACAAGTTAGTAGAGTATTCCATTAAAAGGTTCCAATGAATCCGAAGGGGCCCTAAAAGGATTGTAGGATGGACATGAGATGTCCCGACCTTCCCCGTTGAGTCCTGATGGCCTGTAGAACCGAAGTTCTGCAAAGACCTGAATCACCCGGAAGAAGATGGAGAGGATCAAAGACTCACCTATCGCAGATCCAACCGTTTCGTCTAGCGTCGCACTCGTAGTATTAATCCGAAAACAAAAGGGAGGAGGATTGGCGATGTCGATGGTCGAGGTCGCAGTGATGGTGAGGGTGTGTGTGTGTGTGAGTCGTCTACGAAGCGCTTGGGCTATGTCAGCGGTGGCATCACAGCAGTCGATCACAACCCAACGGAATTTCAGGGGAGATCGGTTGCAAGAAACTCTCACAAAAGGAAGTAGGCAATTTAGAAATAGGAAGAAAAACTAACCGAGACGATTTGGATAGAAAATGAAGGGAAGCCGGAGGGGATTTTGGGAAAGGAAGAATGGGTTGGGTTGACGAGAGCAGGTTGAGGAGAGGGAAGAGGAGAAGAGTGAGTGGGTGCAGATCACTGAATGGGTTTCACCTCAAGTCACTCGTCTGGAGTCGGTGACAAGAAGTAATAATACTCCAACCATGACCTTACCATCTCCCAATACAGACCCGAACCCCCCTTTACAATCATGAATTAAAGTCCATAATCCATTTATACACGCTCGCTTTCTCCCCCAACTTGATTTGGTGGATTTGTTGTCCTCCTATTCATTTGTCGCATTTGCGCTGGCTCTGTCGCATTTACCGAAACCAATCGCATTTGTTACCAAGGCTAATATCAAACTCTCCCCCGGCCACAATGGGGTCAAGACCGGCCAATTTACATGATTTTGAGTCGCTAGCGGTCTAGGTCGATTTGTACCTGGTTAATGTTTCTCTACGATTTCGTGACCACCACGTTTGATGGATTGTGTCGCTTGTCACGAGCTGTTCCAATGCGATCAACTCATGGCGATTGTACGCCTCGACCAACCTTTCGCGCAGAGGCAAGGAAAAGCAAAAATAAGGCAGAAATGCAAAGCCAGGGCGACGAACCTACAATGTCTTTTTCTTTTTTTTTGCATGGTACTTTTTCCCATTGTGTCGTTTGTCCTTGTGGTTGATTTACATCCCATCTCCCTCTCCTTTTTCCCAACCATTCCGGTCGGACCAAAAAGACAAAACAGACGTACAGGAAGTGGCGTAATTTGGCACATCCTCAGCGCGGCCACGTCGAGTGACCCCCAGATCACATCCCAGCCAACTATTGAGGAGAACGAGGGTCCATTCCGTCATAATCCTCCCCTACTGGCCATCTAAAAAGACCCGACCCAAACAGCTCCCAGCTGCATAGGATCCAAGCGACAGCTCCAGCTTCATAAATTTGAACTCTAGATTGTGATTTCTGGCAGAACTAGAGCTGGCGACCAGGATAGATTGATATCATTTGAGTCGGTCGCACGCTTTCTGGAGAGACTACAACTTAATTCCGTCCCATTCCATCCAACGGCGGAATTAAACGTTGGCGCTTCAGCCAACGAATTGCTAGTGGATGGGCGAGTCTTATAGGATGGAGCAAAGGAAAGAAAGGTCGCATCCTTTCTACAAATTGTCGCATGCGACAAAGACACAGCGGCCAAGCGGGTGACAGCGCCCAATTGTTGCCTCGTTTCATGATCTGCGCCTGTCCAGACTGAGTCGTAGTCGTCGTTGTTCTTTTACCCCTCCCTCCTCGGGAACGGTGGACTGCGTTAGTTCGATGCCTACTCCGTTAGGATGGATCCCCGTTCGCCTGTTGGGCGCAGATGACAAACGGTCATCGGCGGGGATCGCAAGCTGGAGCTTTCATGACTACTATTTCTGCTACTTTACAACATGCGCAGGTGCTGCGACATCATCTTGTCAAGGTCCCCATGTCCACACCCCAAAGGTTGGGCTGGGCGTCCGTAAACAGCGGTAGACACCCAGTCAGTTATGTATTTGTCGCATTGGGAAAAGAAAACGAAAAATGGCAAGAAGAAAGATGTAGACAGATAACCCTTGCGCAAAGGTAGCCAAACAACAGGGCAGCTGGCGCAAAGATGCCGTTGGCGCAGGATTAATTGGACGAGTCCGTTTGAATGACCCGACGGAGGACAGACTCTATACATAAGTGGTATCGGTCTCTCAGATCACATTGTCACCGTATGTATTGTATGTATAGACATATCCCTACGTCCGGTAATCCACTAGAACTAGGTCACAATTGTCAATTAAGATGAAAAAAAAGAGAGAGGCGAAGGGAAGAATAGGATTTGACACGAAATCCTGGCAGTCATTGGGGATCCAAAGCGGGGCCAATTTGCCAGCCCATCATTTGATTTAAATAGCACTATTGACCCAAACCGGTGGTGGTTGTCAGCGTATGGATGCACACCGAAAGTTTGGGTAATTCAATGACCACTTGGCACCGTTCCCACAGTTTTACCGACTGCGCATGAAGATTGAAATAGTCGAATAAACAAAAGTGGGAAGCGCAGGTGCATTGATATAAAACAGTCGATTGTCCTCAGCCGAAAGAACGCAAGGATGTGTGCGGACTCACCTGATTCCTTAATTGTTCTGTCGCTCCGCTCAGTGGGCTATTGTGGATGTTTATGTTGAAGACAAGACAAAGCTACGAATCCCGCGGCTTCATGATAGGTACCGCCGGATCCGCGTCCCACATTGGAGGCCAGTGGTGGCTTTTTTTTCGGCGATACGGGTGCGAACGGGGAATCGAAGAAACCCAGTCGGCTTGGTGGCCAAACGCAAAGAAGAGGAGTCTCAAATCTTTGAACTTCGTAGCCACCAGAACTAACGATTATTGATTGTCTTTCTTCGATAAAAGACCGGCTCCTTCCGGTGGGGATTCATCCCACGGTTGCGAAATTGCTCAGATCGTGCGATTCTAGGCAAAGTCGAGTGACTACGAAGAAGCCACTTATGAGATTGACTATCAATAGTCTAAAGAGAAGACCGACGAATATCAAAGCGCTGTACGGAGTAGGTAGACCAGTCTATTCTGCCCACTGACTACCAAAAGCGTCCAACGGTCTGCCAAAACGGTGGACAATGGCGGGCCTAAGGGATCACGTGGACTCGCGTTTAATTGGATTCGAATTCGTGTATCCGGACGCGTTTAAAGTGCGGTGAAGCGATATCGCTTATATCAAGCCATTTGAGGCCCCTTTTGTTAGAAGGATTATTGGAACAGAATCGCATGGATATGTAGCATATGTAAGTCATTTTTCAGACATTTGCGCATGAGGTTTGGAGACATTTTGGCTGTCGATGCAAATGCAAGTGTCGATGGGAAGACGCGATCAGTGATGTCATGGGGTCCGGGGTGACACAAACCATGCAAACATGGAGATGACATAAGCATACCACAGCAACCCTGGAAACGGAATAGTGTGGTTGTTGTTGACGGTAACCAAGTAAGGTAGTAACCGCTTCCAGCTGAGTGGATGGGGGTTCCCGCCGTTCCCTAGAGACGATGCGATTGTTTGTTCGTCGCTCTCATTCCTTTCGGGCAACAACACGAGTTCCTTCTCTCCTATGCGACAATCTTAGATGCTGCGGTGGGAATTCTTCTTCTTCTTCTTCTTCTTTTTTTGAGGCTCGGCGAATTTGAGATCTCTTGACCAAACTTTTCCCTTGTCGGTACTGTCGCAACTGCTTTAGCGCGGCTGGTTGTTTGTTTAGGGTGGTTTTATTATAACTTTAGCTGCTGCTCCTTCAACCCCTTCGCAGCGGATAGGTAAACAACCATCCGGGTGTCCCCCCAAAACATCAACATCTACAGTTTGGAGAAGGCTTCAAAGTCTTCTTGTCGCCCAAAATGGATGCAAAGGTATGTTTCCACTGCATTTCTTTCTTCGTTTGTAGTCATCATCCATCAAGCTTGTGGGGGATCCTTCTCTGCGTCCATGTTTACGAACCTTGACGCGCTTGGTGTTTTCCTTCCTGTGCTCACATTTTGGCGTCGCATACAATTTCAAGATTGTATACTGACATGCAATTGCTTCTAGCCTCAACGAATTCGCGTCCGTGGGGATGAGAATGCTGCCTTTCCCCTCACTAGCAAAATGGTTCACCAGAAAAACAAATCAACCCCCGCCCTGTCCACGATGTTCCAGAATGGCGCGACGAAGAATGGGTCAAGGAGAGCTGCTTTTGGAGACGTCAGCAATACCATGAAAACCGTCCAGGGCATTCGGGATGACATCTCTGTTGCAGCCAAGAAACAGACCAAGCCATTGGAGAAGCCTTCCGTGCAGGTCACGGAGAGGAAATCTTCTGTCTTGGCCCAACCTGCCCAGCGCCCAATATCGGTGGCGGGAGTCAAGGGCCTATTAAGCAATGTGACGAATTCCAAGCCCCTGGAGCCCGTCGGAAGGTCGACCGGCGTGCCGCAACATACCGCCAACGCCCGCAAGGCTCTGAACAAGCGAGGAACGATCTTTAAAGATCACATGGAACCATTGACGGAAAAACGCGAACTTACATCCAAGGAAATAACTCAAACTAAGGAAGGGACTACTGGGGGCCAAATCGCGCATTCGTCTACGGCGCCTTCGCAGCTCAGCAGCCTGGCGGAAAGGGACGCAGTCAATGAAGGATCAAATGATGAGTCGGAGAATCACGATGAACATTCTATTGTCAGCTCTGAGGTTGATGGAGAGGAGAAGGACGCCCCCAAGCTCGACGAGGATATTTGTAAGGTTCAGGGTATCAAGGAACTCAAGGAAGCCTCTGAACCCTGTACGGCAACCGAGGCCGACGGCTCAAACCTAGTTGTGAAGCCACAACGTGTATCTGCTGCTGGCGCACATCTGCCTCATGAACATGTGCCCGCTCACTCGGAGCCGGAAGAGTCCTGGGACGACGAAGACGACGAAAATGAAGAGGACGATGAGTATATCACCGCTCGCTCCTATCGATCCCGTGGCGAAAACACGACTGGCGCGACTACTACAATACTCTTCCCGAAATACACGCAGCAAGTGAGACGGGAATTGGCACTGGCGAAACAAATTGTCGAGGCAACACGGACAGTGGAGGATATTGAAGATGAATACTGGGATACGAGCATGGTCGCGGACTATAGTGAAGATATATTCGAGTATATGCGAGAACAGGAGGTGTGTTATTATGGATACCGAGATATGCTCGGGATTGATCGCTAACTGCATCTAGATCAAAATGCTGCCAAACGCGCACTATATGGACAACCAAGCGGAGATCCAATGGTCTATGCGGTCCGTTCTGATGGAATGGCTTGTGCAGGTCCACCATCGGTTCTCTCTACTCCCTGAGACCCTTTTCCTGTGTGTCAACTATATCGACCGTTTCCTGTCCTGCAAGATAGTCTCCCTGGGCAAACTGCAGCTTGTTGGTGCCACCGCCATCTTCATTGCTGCCAAGTATGAAGAAATCAACTGTCCTTCCGTACAGGAGATTGTTTATATGGTTGACGGAGGCTACACCGCCGATGAGATCCTCAAGGCGGAACGTTTCATGCTCACTATGCTGCAGTTCGAACTTGGGTGGCCTGGTCCCATGAGCTTCCTGCGGAAGATCAGCAAAGCTGACGACTACGACCTGGAGACCCGGACACTGGCAAAGTACTTCTTGGAGATTACCATCATGGATGAACGCTTCGTTGGATGCCCACCAAGTTTTACCTCTGCTGGCGCTCATTGTCTCGCAAGGATGATGCTGAGAAAAGGAAACTGGGTAAGCTTACAGAGACCTGTTCGTGGTCTGTACCTCCGCTAACATTGGAACAGACCCCTGCCCATGTCCATTACGCGGGATACACCTATTCACAGCTTTACCCACTGATTTCTCTCATGATGGAATGCTGCGAGATCCCTCGCAAGCACCATGCGGCCATTTACGAAAAGTACACTGACAAACGGTTCAAGCGTGCTTCGCTGTTCGTCGAAGCTGAAATGAGAAAAGGGTTCAATCTGCCCGAGGTCACTCGGGAAAAGAGTCTTGGCAACCCGCCGTCTCTTGACGTTGACCATCACTGGAAGCGCGCATAACTGCCGCTCTGCCTTGCGAAAATTCTCGCCAGGACGCCCAGAAGCCTGGCATCTTGAAGCACGATTACCTGATATGCTTGAGTATTGATTGATGAACATGAAAAACAAACATAAAAAAAGAGGAAACGAAACACAGCCGGGCAAGAAAAACAAGGGAAAACGCGAGCTGTTTTCCCACTTCAATCTTATCATGACACTTTCTTTTGTCGCTCGACTTTGTATGCCATGCCTTTCATGCACATTTGGGTTTTAGAACACGGAGACAATGTTTCGACGGACGGGGAATCGGATATCATCAATGGGCGGAGTTTTTTTGTTAATTGAAACGGACGACATGCCAGCCATGCCATCCGGAACCGGGAGTTCAATGGGGTCGATGGTTTCTCTTATTCCCTTTCTTAATTAATTTGCACCCTTTATATTTCCTTTGTTTATTTCTTCTACTAACCATCCAACCGATTCTCATGAACGATACATGCCCTTCCTGAAACGCTTCCCAGGGACTTCATGAAAATGCCCCCAGCATTAATGCCTCTTCTTCCCTTTGTTCCTTTTTTGGACTTCTGTTCTTCTTTACTTCATCCTTTTTTATTCTCTGTGGTTATTATCCAGGCTTAGTACACAGGAACTAGTCAATTGGATCTATCTCTTCACTGAATTAAGTTCCTGGCCGTAGAGACGCTTCCTCACCTAGGACACCAAATGATATACCCACTTTGGGACCCTTCTATATCTTGGGTTCAAAGGAATGAAGTATTGTCTGCTAATAATCTATTCAATTCTATGTTTTATTTATCACTGTTCGTAGATGAATGGATTCTGTCCCTTCTTTCGTTCCTCTTTCCCCTCCAACAGTAATTTCACTACACTAAGGATGATTGAATATCAACCGTGTCTATAAAACCAAAGAATATCCGGAGACTGTTGAGCACAAACATCCTTACCTTCTATCCCCTTGTGAGGAGCTCGATGTGGCTATTACTCTTGGTTTCATAGTATGGTATAGGGTTTTTCGAGTGAAACCCGCAGGCAAGGACCTACGGATCATGGGCTCTGTCGCTACTGAGTACTTTAGAACATAGCACTCAGATCAGTCAGTCAGTCAGTCAGTCAGTCAGTCAGTCAGTCAATCCTGGAGTCAAGATTCTATCTCCTGATAGAGGCTTTGAGCGTCTAGCTATGCAGCTGCTTGCAAGGCAGAATCTTGCCTAAACCATACCAAGTCTAAAGACTGGAAAATATTTAGTGTCGGCCATACAGTGTACCCAGTAACGGGTATAGCTCATTGAGCCCGTCATTACTAACGCTTTTGTCGTTTGGTTTTATAGTTTGCCTGATACGGGTAAAGAAATAGGTATACATGCTCTAGTCTCTTGAATATTGACCTCCGTGGCTAACAATTATGAATCTTATCTAGATATGGTTCGCATATTGCGCCATATCAGGCTCAATTCTTGAAAGCGGTAGCGAGTCTTCGCCGTTTATAGCATTTTTATGCTAGCATTTATACTGTGGTTTAAAGTACTATACCTCAAAGCCAGGGCCAGGTACATACACACTTTGTTAGTCCATCGAATATAAACTCCTGTGACTGACCATTATGGATTTCATCTAGATACTGGGGTCCTCGTATTAACCCTTACAACCCAAAGTCGGTTCAAGACCTTGATTCAGCGTTACAAATGACAAAGAAACGTATGCAACGAAAAGCATTCTTCCGCAAATTCCGTATTTCGTCTTTATTTTCGAAGGCGTAAGGAACTGCCGAACTGGAGGAAAACAGGACGATGCCCGAAAAAGAGAGCAAAATGACGCTGAACCCAGCAAATGCTCACCTTGAGCCGAGAATGCCTCCTCTTACATCTGAAACGACATCTGCGGGTTCCCCTATGGTGCCCACAGACTGCAATCAGTCAGTAGGTATAAGCATAGGAAGGTCCACAGAATCAACAATACTCGAAGAAGGCACCCGTGCAGAGGCAGATGGCCGCTGAAGCGAAGAATTAGTATACGCTCGAGAATGTCCTAGACATTTGCAGCTAGTTCTGAATGCAAGCAGGTTTTTCGTGGAGATCAGGCCTTTCCAAGATCAGCAAGATCAGCATAAATAGCAAAGCAATCATCTATCTAGGATTCCGGAATCAATACTTAGTATTTTTCAGCTTAAAAGAAGTAACTTAATTGGCTATATAATACACATTTTATAGTTAGAACACTGAATAAGAAGTAGGCTTTTTATTAGAGTACATTTAAAATCATTATATGCTGAGGTTGCCATGATCGACCATTTATAGCCCGCACCGTTTTGAGCGGACCGTGGACCGATATTACCGGATATGATTTAGTGAGTTGCTTTTCTTGCCCCGCACCAGTCTAGCCGCGCGCTTAATTTTTTCTGCCAAGCCTACGGTCTGCCGTTATTCATCCTCGAAGTGAATATCTACGGAGTACATATTCAACTTGTCGAGGGAAGGCTCCCGCACGCCTTCAGTCTGGAACGCTCTTTCTCTTTTTTCTTGTTTTTCTCTGTTCTTTGATCTTCAATTTTTTTTCACACACTACCAACTTCCACCTCACAGCGCTAGTTAACGACCCGTCGCTACGAAATTTTCAAGTCAATGACCTCTTGAACTATTGACCCCTCTGTCGCCCACGTTCTTCTCTGCACCTAAAAGTTTACGCAAAACCTGAGCACACAACCAGCCACATACCATGCCCCCCAAAGCAGCCCCCCGCCGCGGCGCATCCGCCGCAGCGGCAAACAGACGAACGAATGCCTCCGAACCTAGCTCGAACTCCGCAACACCTGCACCGGGCGAGAATGCCAGCGCCGGGCCGTCAGCCAGCAGACCGCCCGTCCAGCGACTGCAATCATTGAAGAAACGCACCCCGTCCGGCAGCATCGGGCCCGCCGCGAAACCGCCGGCCCCGGGCGGGCCTGGCGAGCCGGCTAAGCCTACGTTGAAGTACAAACCGCGTGCGGTGGGGCGTCGCAGTAAAGAGGAGCGAGAGGCGATTGAGAAACTCGAGGCAGAGCGGAACCGAGAGAGATTGGCGGAGGCGGCGGTCATTCAGCGCGGACGGGGAAATCATGGCCCGGGTGGTCGGGGCGGGTTTGGACGAGGTCGTGGGGGACAATTTGGGTCTGCGAGCGGGCCTTTGGGGTCTATGCAAGGCAGGCGGGGTCGGGGTGGTGGTCCGGGTGGGTTTGGATCGAGGTTCAACGATTCCAGGGCGTCGTCTATGTCGAGGCGGAGTCGGTCGGTCATTGATATTGGGAGTGGGGCGGTTAGTCGGGATGTGTCATCCGATGAAAGTGACAATGAGATCCGGGTCAGCATTGATCATATCAATCTGGACAGTGATGATGAGGAGGCAGAGCAGGTGGTCGATAAGAAGAAGGGAAAGCTTGCGATGAAGAATGCGGAGGCTTCCGGGGAGAAGGGTCTACGGCCCATTCGTGTGGAGAGACATGAGCATGAGGAACGGGTGGTCAGCGTCAATATGGAGTCTAGCTCGAGTAAATCTGCCGAGCTCCGCCAACAAGCGCAAGCAAAGGCTGCAGATGATGGAGCTCTATTTGTGCCAGATGATGATGGTTCGTCTGGTTCGGCTACAGAGACCGAGACTGGGCCCCGGGTGAAACAAGAGCCTACGGATGATGACCATGCTATGGCGGATGTCGTTCCCCATGCGGATGAGGGACTGACCACCGATGATGGCTTCCTGCCGGAGCAAAAGGTGAAGGTCCGCCGGAAGATCTCTCGAGAGCCACCCGCCGTCAAGGATCCTAAGAGTTTACTACGCACTAAGGAAGATATAGAAGAGTATGAGAGACATGTGCAAGACCTTGCGATGGTGAAGGATCTGTTTACGAAGGAAGAGCCGAAGGAGCCACAGCCCGAACAAGTTGATGTTGAGTCTTCGGCGGAGGACACAGAGACGGCGGTGGCGGACGACGCGGAGAAGGACAAAGATAAGGAAAAAGAATCGGAAGAGGAAGAAGATGAGTCTGCTAAGGACAAACTATCCGGCCAGTTATTCCTGATGCAATTCCCACCCATGACACCCAATCTGGTGCCAGAGAATAGTGGTGATAAATCCGCTGCGGCGTCTATAGAAGCTCCGGGTCAGGGTGCCCCCGATGGCACAGCTAGTAACAACGGTATTGCGCCACAGCAAACGGGAGTCAAACGCGAAGACGGCATGGAGATTCTCGATGAAGCGGATGAATTCCAGCCCACGGAGCCTTCTAAGGTGGTCACCGCTACGGATTGGCAGCTCAAGGCCGGACGCGTAGGCAAGTTGAATGTTCATGCATCCGGACGAATGACGATGGACTGGGGCGGTATCAGCTTTGAACTGGATCGCGCCACTGCCGTTGACTTCCTCCAAGAAGCACTGATTGTATCCGCGGCCGCCGATCCAGCTGAAGGGGGAGTTCCGGAAGAGGAAAACAGAGTATGGGCTATGGGACAGCTCAGCGGCAAGTTTACTGTGACGCCTGATTGGGAGAAGATGCTATGAAGCGGGAAGGGCTGCGGCAACATCAAACCCTAATAGACGTCGAGCCATGAAGGGTGGTCTCAGGGTAGTATCCACCCGCCATGCTTGAGGCCCAACTCTCTACGGCTGTGGCGTATCAGTTGATTGATCTCTAGATCTGCATCTGTAACCCAATGCATCTGGAAATAGCGGCCAACGAAATTCAAAGAGGCCGACGAATCATGGGGAGGGACAAGACCTGCTCCACGAATGCTGTACTCCCTTAGGTACCGTACATACCGATCTTAACTTCAGGGAAAGTTGATGACGTGCATTGCGGCGATGAAGGTGCACAATAAGCTCCACGGACTGACCTCAGAACATTCCTATAATTAGTACAGGGACGTGTGGCCGACGAAACAAGTGAACGTTTATTGGCAGAGAGTTGATCTGTATGTAAGTGTATGTAAGATGAATGTTGTTCCGATATATCAAAACAAAGTGTACGTAACATTTTTTTGCCGTTGGATTGAATGCACCACGTCACGGCGTGTCGTTTCCTCTGCCTTCCTGACTTTCCTAGTAATTTTTTATATTTATCTTTATTTTAATTTTATCTTTTTATTATTATTTTTGGTTTCTCACCTTATCTTTGAATTTCTGCATGATTTCCGTTAGCTACTACCCATGACGGTACAACTTGAACGTACGATAAGGGTCCCGTGCTAAAATCGAGGCGACCATCAAACAGGAAATTACACCAACCTCGCGTGGAGCCTTCAGGCACCCTCACTGGCCATGGACGGGTCAGCCATGGTACTAACTGGGGAAAGTCCGATGGCGATTGTTACAAGGGTTGTTTGGGGCTCCACCGCCGTGGATTGGTTTTCGAAACCCTGACAAGCTTCTATGAGTGGCACGAGACATCGATCGACTCGCGCTACTGCCAGCCCGTGCTGACGCGGCTGGTGACCGTCCAATGAGATCGCCGGGAATAGACGCAGAGGCGGGTCTCACAGTGGGGCCGTGCCTGTTAGTCGGACAGAAAGAAGCCAAACACTCCCAGGAAATAAACTAATTTCCAGGGCCAACGGGGGTCGGTGGGCGTCTGGCCGGGTTTTCTTCTCCCTTCAACTGCTGCTCAGTTCTCCATCTCTGCGCGGCTTGTTTTTCTTCTTCCTGTTCCCCCGTCGTCGTGGTTGCTGTTCTGTTTTGTTGGGTGTTTCTGCCGTTTTCTGTATTCTGATTGTTACTATTGTCACCCTTAATCTCCTGAAACGTGTCTTGGGATTCCCTTGTGAGGAGTCTCTCGCTTAATAGCCTCGTTTCCCCCTGACACCCCCTCGGTCTCTGTTGCGACGCGACTCCTCGACACCAGGTTTACTTGAGGTTGGATCAATATTGCCGATATACTTGATCTAGTCACGAACTGTCGTTACCGTTTACTTCCCTTTTGCGAGATTCACCGTCCGATCAGTGGACCCTCAGAGACGATCTCTCGAGAGTCCCGTATCATCATCGCAAATCGCTCAGATCACAATCATCATGAAGACGTCAAATATTCTTCTGTGCTTGGCGCCTGCGGTAGCACTCGCCGCTGGGGCAGATCAGGCGCCTGCCGCTGTCGCGCCCAGTCCTTCGCTACCGAACATTACGCCTCCGGTCCCGTTGCCAAATATTCAAAATCCTCAAAGCGGAGAAGACGAGTCGAAGTTACCATTGGAAGCACGTCAGATGGTCCAAATCGCCAATCCTGGTGTAGCCAAGCCCCCGGCTGCCGCGACCACGGAAGAGATTCTCACAACAACCGTTATGGATCAATGGCCGGCGCCCTCCAGTGGATCAATTGGGTTGGGAACACTGACCGCATCAGCGGGGGTAACGAAGTCGCTGCGCGCGCGGAGTGAAGGCACTCTTGGCCAAACACCATGGATAGGAATGGCTATCGGGCTGACATGCACAGCGCTTGCAGCTGTGATGCTGGGGTGATCGCCGCGCCGTCAATAATCTGGCTTGAGATTCTGAGCCCTTCTCTTCAAGTCTCATAGTTGGCCCTGTCGGATAACCAACGACCATCGCATTTCATCCCCCATTGTGTGGGGTTTGCATAAGGAGTTCGTCTTTTTCTTCCTACTCTTCTTCTACGACCTGGCAACCTATATGGTTGCTCATTGCTACGAGCGTATTTGCATTCATGCATCCGACAGCAGAGAGCCCTGTAATACTCTGTGGATAGTATATGGGCTCTGCTGTTCGTGTTTCATACCTTCTTCTTGTGTGCTGCATTGTTTGGCTGCACTTGCATTCATACCCGACTGTTGTATAGACTGGGTTTGCCACGCTTTTTCTACGTGTACATGATACCTTTTTTTTAGATTTTTTTTCCTACCTGCTCCGGCCTTGGTATACTCGGATTTAGTCGACGATGTATCTACTATGCATGATGATTCAACCAATCAATCAATATATACATATTATTATTATTATTAAGAATGCTTGCTACGTGTCTTTTTCTCTTTCTCTTATTTTGCGTTCACGGCAGAACACCGGATAGCCAATAGAATCAAAAAGGTCCGACGTCTCACGTCTTTGTTCTTGGGGCGCCGGCAAACAACATGCGGGCAACACGAAGCCTCCCCGGACAAACAAAGATCAGCCTTGTTGTCGCATGCGACTTGGCAGGCTGACAGCACGAACTTAAATGTCACCGACCTCTCCCAGATCTGTTATTTGATTCACCCATGGATTCTTGGGGTGTATCCTGAAATCTCATTGACTTCACCTTCCACTGGATCTAGATCACTTCATCTAGCGCCAGTCGTCTCTAAACTCAAGAAAGTAACAAGACTACCGGGAGGCGAAGAAAGATGCACAATGAGAACGAGCAACCGAAGAACATCCCTCCTTTCACGCCGATGTCCTCTCTCGGGCACGAGTTGGGCGTTATGTTCGCCTTTCTTGCGGCCTGTTTCGTAATCATGGGTTTATATGTCTTCTTCTGGCGAGGTAAGCGTCTCCTCTTGGATCTAATACCTATCACCTCGGATGAAATGTGGATTAATGACCTGTCCGACAGCATTCGAACGTCGGGAGGCACAAAGAGAAAAGGCCCGTACAGAGCGGTTCACGAGGAGAGACGTCCATCATGGGCGCAGCGGCATCCCTGAGAAGATGTATGATAATCGGAGAGTCGAGCTACCGGGGAACAGCCGATATGAACTCCCAAATGGGTATGAGAATGGGGAGAGATCGACTAATATGAAGATGGGTTCCGCTGGTGCTCGGGTGAATCGAGCGAATGGCTGGATGGAAATGGATGATCTGCGTGCGCCGCGGAGATGACAATCCCGTTTTGGATTAATCTATATTCTTGTGATATGTTCTTTGCTTGGCTATCCGGCTTTTTTGTGTATCTACTTCATACAGGGGGCGTTGGGATTTTCAGGGGTTGCCGCTGGCCGATGGTATTAGATTGGTCTCCTGGGATCGCCGAATATGCTATTTTTTGATAAGGCAAGTCAAAGGCGAGCCTTGTTGCCTTCAAGCTAGCTATTATTCCGCGCCTATTCTATATGCAGGTTGTTAGGATCCTCCCGGTGGTTCCCCAGCATTCCACCCCTGAAGCTCAACGATGTCTACTCAGGGTTGGGTGGCTGGGATGGGAAACTCTCTGTATGTACTCAATGGATCGTAATGCATATGAGCCAGTTTAGGCTTGTTGATCTGCCGCTGATTGGGTATGCTCAGGAAGGAGTACCCAATAAGAAAAAGGCGTTAGTTATATATATATATATATTTTCGCGATGTTTATGGTATATCATGGATTGGTTTCGACTGAATGTATGTAACACAGCCTACGGCTAAATCAAGCATAATTTCTCTTATTGACGGCTTGACTATACGCTTTCAGGTACTAGTACTATCAGGGGTTCAACAACCGGGCTGATATTTTCTACACACCAGTTACGGTCATGAATACCCTAGGTAGTCTGTATTGTCAAGGGAACCTGCGAATCCGCAGAAAAAGAGGCGGAGGATCTGCACCTGACTGCATTTGTTCTGTCAGATATGACGGGCACGTGCCTTGCAGCTGCATAGCGCAACAAGCGGTAAGACAATTGGGGAAGAGAGAATCGCATCACCCAAGAGACGGAGATGCTGAAGTGGATGCTCCTGTTCAAGTCAAACCCGAATTAGACTAAGACCGGTTGGTTCTCTCCACCGCCTCAAGACTAAATCGTAAGGGAGCTTGAGAATCTGGCGGTGACCCGACAACTACTCTCGGTCAGATCAGGAGGACCAGGTTGGGGAAGGGGGAGTATGGTGAAAAGTGTAGAGTGGGTGTTGATCCGGGTAGAGGTTAATCCTTGAGGGCTGTCGCATAGAGGTTGCTGTTTTTTCATTATTGTATGGAAATTGATGCGCATGAAAGTGCCTCCAGGAATGGCCAGGGCGGGGCACGCAAATCACTGATTGTGTTTTTTTTCCCGTTTGGTTGCCAACGCAGGCAAACACCCCACCTGCTGGTCTCTCTTCGGCGCGCGGCTCTACCTTAACTAATAATCAACTTCAACGGACTCTTTCCCCCTCTTTCTTCATCCCACACAACAAATAAACCACTTCTTGACCTTCCATCTTCTTTCTCACCCTTTCGCGGTTGACTACCCTCCTCGTTTCACCCACTTCCCTTTTCCGACCCTTCTCCGTCGTTTCTCCGTCTATCAGTCACTATGGGCGCTCACTCTGCTGTTTGGCAAGGTACGATTGAACTGACTGTCCCTTTCTCCTGACTAGCCCTTGCTCGAAGCTCGTCTGAGCTAGCATCTCCATGGAACGATGTAGCTAATAGTTCTGTCTTCTTGTCCACAGGATATGTCGATTCCAGGTACCGTCCACCCCCTAAGACTTTCTCCTATTACCCCACTTCCGCAATCCGAAGCTCTCCCCGACAGCTTTCCGCCGTTCAGTTAGCCAGTCATATATGCTGACCACAACCATGCAGCTTGATGGGATCCGGCCAGTTTGACAAGGCTGCCATTCTGAGCCACGACCTTTCCGGCACCGAGGCTTACTCTCCCGGCTTCACAGTATGCGACCACCGAATTCCATGACACTGGATCCGCCTACTCCGTGTCCCGCAGGATCCCAATATTCAACCACTAACGACCGTCACAGATCAGTGTCGAGGAGCTCAAGGAACTCGCTGCCGCCTTCGATAATAGCGGCGTGGCGATGACCAATGGTTTCCACGTCGGCGGCGAGAAGTTTGTCGCTATCCGGGCCGACGAACGCAGCCTATACGGAAAGAAGGTACAACGCCCGCTTGCACACTGGAGACCTGACCGGAGTCTCCATATCGGAAAATCGAACACATGCTAATCCCCGATTAGGGCAAGGAGGGTATTGTCGTTGTGAAGGCCAAGTCCTGCGTCATGATCGCCCACCACCCCGAGACTATCCAGACCACCAACGCCGCCACCGTTGTCGAGAACCTCGTTGACTACATCAACAAGTACTAGACGGAGACGGCGGCGTGGAAACGAAATGAATGTCTTCTTAACTTGTGAAAAAGGACTGTGTCTGCTTTGAATCGATTTACTGGCGGGTCCTCTTCATTTCTACTATTACTCTACCCTTTTTATTCCTTTTATGTTCGCCGATATTGAGCATCGCTCGTAGATATGTGCCATAGGTTCTGTCTGATCTAGTACGCAAGAAAGATTTCCAATTTTCTGTCTCATGGATAGTTGTCGATAGGCAACAGTATAGTGGTTTGTGAGATTGGATCTGCAGAACAGGCTTTCTCGTTATCACTCTGTACTAGTATGCTGAACATGGTGTCCCTATCCCCATGAAATACACATTTGAAGAGAAGAAGTATAATTACAATTCTAGCATTACAATATATATCCCCCCCCATCAACATAGACCCAGTACAGTGTCATCTCCCTGCCAAACAGAGAAAGCACACCAACCCCATAAAAAGGAACAAGTAATTCATATCCATCTCATCATAATCATCGACACCCCTACCCACTCTTCCATACTTATACCCATACTCATACTCAACAATAACCATCCACCTCCCACACACCCTCCATCAGGCCAAAACAAAAGAAAATCCCCCTCTAAACAGGCAACTCAGCATTACTCCTCCCCCCCGCCAAAACCTCCAACCCCTTCTGCAAATACGGGCCCACAACCGGAATATTGCCCGCAAACTGCCCGATCGTGATCAGAAAATCGCCAAAGAGGATAAACAGCCCGTACAGCTCGATCAGGAAGCCCGTGAGAGGCCAGCGGAGGAGGATGAGGAGGATGCCGGCGGTGAATGCGGCCGTGCCTTTTAGTTTCTGGCGGCGGCTGAAGAAGGCGAGGGTTTTTTGGACGCCGATTATGAGTGTTAGGCCGATTAGGAAGAGGATCTGTTTTGTTTTGTTAGTGCTTGTTGGGGTGGAGTTGGGGGTGGGTTATTTGGGGGAGATGTACGTTGCCCATTGCCAGACTATGTATTGTTAGCTTTTACTCTTGTTTGGGGAATTTTGGTGGGTGAGTGGAGGGAAGGGAAGGGACATACAGCGAGCGATCGAAGAAGAGAAGGACGCCGCCGAAGAGGAAGAGGGCTCCTGTTTTATGGGACCTTGGTCAATTGATGCGCTTCTTTTTTTTCCCCTTTCCAGTGTGGGTATTTTTGTCCAGGTGTTTGACGGTGTGTATAGGATCGTGCGACATTGTTAATGGAGGAGATGATGGCTTGCTACGTACCGCCTGAGCAGAAGATCACCCCGATTTCTGTATACCATGTTAGATCGTGGACGTTGTTCTTGGGCGTGTGACCCTGCACCCTGGGCTTACTTTGGTTATCTGAGAGCCACATTGTGGGCATTCTGGATTGTGATTGAGATGAGGAGGATTATGGGTAATAGGAGAGCGTGCGATTTGCTAGGTAGCGGAGGAGAAGGTGTTCATGTGCTGGTGGCAATGCAATTGTTTGGCGATGTTGTGGACGAGGTAGAGGGTTAGGTCCCGAAAAGTTAGGTGCGCGATAGATAAGATACTATTGGGTTATTGTATTGGTCCGCTTGGAGTGGTTTTTGGATCGCGCACTGGACCACACGGGGTATTTCTTTTGGGGGAGTTGGGAGAATTGAAACGGAGTTCAGTCGTGTTGGATGGTCATTATTCATTAATAGAGGTGAGAGAGCAAGTATGGATATTTATCGTTATTTAGATTGACAATGGCGATTGATTTGCTTTTCCTTTCTGCCACGTCTCCCCTTTTGTCTTAGGCTGGGGCTAGGCGCTTTGGGGAGGCGGTGTGCGGGCTAGCTTAGACTGCGTTTTAACCGCACATTTTTCGTTTCGATTGTTACCTTCTTGATTGTTGTTGATATCTGAAGATGTGATGGCCATTGGATGACGTACGCTTGCTCGTTACATCCAATGTTTCGATTATATACTGAGCCAATGTAATGATACTGCTTGAATCAGTATTGGTGGTGTCACCTTGTGCAGTTCTGGTACTATCCAGATGTCATTTAATGAATGATGGCGATGTACAACAACAGCTTTGAATCAGACTGGAACTGGTCTATATTTGTATAATCACATCTAGATCCCCTGGATCTCTTTGATTCCCTCTTGTCAGCCTTCTGGCTCCCTTATACGCCGCGGCGACAGCGTCCCTGGATGCTGTAACTGACGCTCTTGCTCCGTGGAGCGTCGGTATTAGTCGAGTGCAACTGCACAAGGCGAAGAATGACTAATATAAAGGTCACGATTAAGCCGGAGCGCTTTCTTTGAACCTGTCTCGAGAGGGGCACGGTGGGTGGAAAGGGCTTGACTGTGATGGCCGGACATTCTCCATAGTAGACCAAATCATAGCATAGTATCTGCAATGCATTAGCTTTCATATTCGAACTTAACAATTCGGCCACCGTAGCTCACCTCACTTGCGAGACAAATTCACGTAAACATCACTTCCTCTACGCAATTTCCAACGCCCATTACTTGAGAACCACATGTGCCGCCCTCAACTCTAGATAACTCTCAGGTACACCCTGGGCTAGAGATCGGACCACCCCAAAGACCTCCTTATCGTGATACCTCAGCCGGGTCTAGGATCCGTATACGGAGCCGGCAACCCCGTGATATCGCAATACCTTGTCTGCTGCGACGGGTGCAGCGACGGCGCTGACTCGATATTCGTATACGTCACCGCCGGCCCCGACGAGTACATTGCCCGTGCATTCTTCTCCAGAACAAGCGTGGAGAGGTTCTGCGCTGCTTGCGCGATGTTTGTGCGGTGGCCCACGTCGGCGGGTGTCTGGCTGCCGTCTGTACTGGCGGAGGTGGTGGCCACGAGAGGTGTCGTTGCGCCGGAGTTGGCTTGCGTGGCCATCTGAGAGGCTTCTCTCCGAGAGCTCTCGGAGATCAGTTGCTTGACATTCTTGTTGCGCCGCTGGGAAGGCTTCCAATGGGGGTTGCGGAAGGGGCGCGGGACCTGTGCGATGTCGAGTTGGTTGAGGAGTTGTTGGTGGCTTTCGTTTTCGGCGGGGGTGGGAGGCGCCATTGTAGTTGGGTTGAGTATTCTTTCTTAGTTGGTTGGATAGGTGGTAGGAGGTGAGATGTCAAGTTGCTGGTCGGTGCGGAAAGGCGAGATCGTGGAGCTGGGAGATGATCCGGAGTGGACGGTCTTGACACGGATTGGTCTCTAGCGCACAATGCTTCTATAACAAAGATGTTGGGTGTGTGAATAGTATGGCAACACACTATAGCAATATTAATATTGTTTGAGCATAAATTATAAAAGACCAATATAAAGCTTCAGATTTGGCTCGATTTACACTTAGAACTCTAAGCCACGTGATGCACCGCATTGGGCAGTATTGATGGGCGAGCACAAACAAACACCAGACCAGCACTCTATTCATAACACTCGTTTTTCAATACCAGTAACAATGGTGGGTTGACTAAGTATGGATCTATAGAGGTAGGGACAGTACTGATAGACCCTGTAGGAGAGCCCACACGAGCACCAGCAAGCGGTGATTCTCTCACGAATCATCAACAATGTTGTATGTTACTTGTGGCCATCATAAATATATCGATACTGATAGTTGAGCAGGAAAAGCTGAATGAGGCCATCATGGTCATGAACAAGAGTCTCCAGGTATATCAATCTTCTCTATGGTCCTAGCACCTTGCTAAGAACTATATGCAGGAGGTCAATATCCAGAACATGAATGTCGAGCTGGTGGCGCAAATGTTCAAGAATTACCAGTCTAATGTGCTGTTTCATTTGGAAGGTACTTATTTCTCTCTCGCCATGTCATGAACCCAGACTAACAGGACTAGCTACTGAGAACTTGAAAGAGCCGTCGCAAAGCGAGTGATTTCAATGAGTTCTGAGTACATATGATGGGATATGAGATCAATCATGATAAAGACATGAGATACCACAAGGAGTAAATGTAGGGAACGAAGGCTATTGGGATTGACTTTGGTATAAGTTTTATTTAACACAGTATATTGTAAATTTATTTCTTCTTTTTTCTTTTCGGTTTATACATTTTGAATGGACGGAGTAGGCCTGCAGAGACAGAAAGATTGATGTCTTGGCACCATACAAGACCGACAGTGGCTCTTCCGTCCACTGCGCCGCCGCCGTTCAAACCGGGGATTTTAAGCTTCACATTCTTTCATCTTGGGCACTGTCGCCAATAGTCTCTAAACCGACTTTAATACCCCAATCAAGTGCAGACCATCCCTCTTTTGAAGCCTCGCCATTGATCTGTCCGCGACACCTGCAATGCGGTGAACCGTATCCCCGGAAGCTCTTTCGTTGCTCTTAGTTGATCCCACCTCCACGACGCCATGACTATCACATCAGTACAAGCGGTTCTTCCCGGCCGCTATGCAATCAACTCGACTGAGAAGAGTGCTGCGAAACCACCTCCGAAGGTCTATAATGTCCAAGAGCCTCCTTTCAAAGGCTACCACGCCCCCCAGCCAGATGGCTATCAGCGGAGCAGGTCAAAGCCCGACACAAGCGCTATCGTGATTGACAATGGTACGTTGACCTGCACTCCTAGTCCCCGACTTATCTACGCATGCTGATATCTTGGTTTCCTTGACAGGATCGAATTTGGTCAAAGCCGGATGGTCATTCGACAAGAACCCCCGTTTCATCATTCCCCCGGTGATGAGTCGGTACCGCGATCGGAAACTCAATAAAGCGTGTCAGTTTATTGGATACGATGCCTACGTCGATGCCACTACGCGCGGCCAGCTGCGCTATGCGTTTGACCCTGGCAGCAGCGTTGTCGGCAACTGGGATGTGATGGAAGGGGTGCTAGACTATCTATTCCTTAAACTGGGGGTCGACGGCGCCAACGGTGGCATCGACAGACCCATAGTCATGACAGAACCGATCGCGAATCTCAGCTACCCCAGAAAGAGTGAGTCGGTCCCTTCTACGTACCCCGCCGTGATGTCGTCCCGCTGACACCTTTCTAGTGATGAACGAAATCCTATTCGAATGTTACTCTGCACCTTCAGTCGCTTATGGAATCGACTCCCTGTTTTCTTACCGGTACAATCGTGGAACCGATGGCTTGATTATCTCCTCCTCCCATACATCAACGCACGTCATCCCTGTGCTAAATAACAAGGCCCTCCTTTCGAACTGCTCACGGCTCAACTGGGGTGGAATGCATGCGTCGGATTACCTACTGAAACTGATGCGATTAAAATATCCGACCTTCCCTGCCAGAATGACCGAAAGCCAGATGGAAGACCTGGTCCATAAGCATTGCTACGTGTCGAAGGACTACGATCAGGAACTGAGTAAATACTTGGATTGGACGGGCCTCGAAGATAGGGATCTTGTTGTTCAGTACCCATTTACGGAGCATGTCGTGCCAGAGAAATCCGAGGAAGAACTGGCGCGGATTGCAGAGCGCAAGAAAGAGAGTGGACGTCGACTGCAGGAACAAGCAGCCAAGATGCGACTGGAAAAGCTCATGAAGAAAGAGCAGGAGCTGGAGTACTACAAAGACCTTCAAAATGGTCTTCAGTCAGAGACCAAGAAGGAGGCGAGGCGCATCTTGGAGGCTGAGGATCTAAAAGATGAAGCACACCTTGAGCGGATCATCCGGGATTTGGAACGTTCTATCAAGCGATCCAGGAATAGGGACCTCGGGGTGGAAGAGAATGAAGAGCCCGCGGAGGAAATGTCGTTCCCCTTATTGGATGTACCGGATGAGGAACTGGACGAAGCTGGTTTGAAAGAGAAGCGTCATCAGCGACTTATGAAATCCAATGTCGAGGCCCGGCAGCGCGCGAAGGCAGAGAAGGAACGGGAGAAGGCCCGCCGGGAAGAAGAGGAACGCCTTGACCGCGAGAAGCGCGAGACCGACTTTGAGGGCTGGCTCTCTGAACGCAGGACTAACCGACATGTAAGGATGCACGACCGGGAATCTTACGATGCTGCTGCTAATCGCTTAATAGAACATCTTGCAAAGGATCAAAGAACGTGACAGGTTAAAGGCAGACCTCGGTAACCGCAAATCGTTGGCTAGTCAGATGCGCATGAAGACCCTTGCCAACCTCGCTGCGGATGGCCCCAAGAAGCGAAGACGTGGTGGCGATGACGACGACTTCGGTGCGAACGACGAAGATTGGGGTGTCTACCGTACCGTGGCCACCGGAGAGCAGAGTGACGAGGAAGAGGAAGAAGATCTCGGCGGAATGCTCGATGTCGTCGAAAAGGAGCTGCTCGAACACGACCCTGACTTCACGGAGAACCACACTCTCGCTGCACAGTCAGACTGGACCAAGAGCCTTGTCCATGTATTCCTGCGGGGACCTTGGCCATTCGACCCGGAAAGTCAGCGGGAGGCTCATCAGTTGCACCTGAACGTGGAGCGGATCCGAGTGCCCGAAGTCGTGTTCAAGCCGTCCATCGCAGGTATTGACCAGGCCGGCTTGGTCGAGGTCGCCGCGGACATCGTCAACCAACGATTTACGAACCCGGAGGACCAGTCTCGGTTGCTGCGCGATGTATTCATGACCGGTGGCAACACACTCTTCCAAAACTTCGACGAGCGCTTCCGTCGCGAATTCCGGGCCTTCCTGCCTCTTAACGCCGAGCTCAACGTGCGCCGTGCCAAAGACCCTGTTCTCGATGCCTGGAGAGGAGCTGCGCAGTGGGCTTCTGGTGCCGAGCTGACCAAATCGTCTATCACGCGACAGGAGTACCTCGAGAAGGGCAGCGAATATCTCAAGGTACGTTCTACACCAGTCTACAAATACTACCTCGAATGCATCGCATTGGCTAACTAAGTCCTAGGAACATGATCTGGGGAACGTCACCACGTGGTAAACATGTCAGCAAGATAGGAGATATGATAACCCGGCCTTTACAATCACGTTCTCATGCTCTACAGTAACAAAGGCTCCCTGAGGGATGTATGTCAGAGAACTGACCCAGTTGATTGGCGTTCGGCACAAGAACAGCCTCCATCATCTGACAGCAAGTAACACTGCACCATTGGCCGGAGAGCTCGTATAACGACCTTGGAAATCCATGGCGCGAGGCACAAAAGAGGGAAATTGGTTCCGTGAAGAAAACCAAGGAGTCTGGCGCAGGGGACAAATAACATGTACAGATACGACTTAATCGGAGCGGTTGACCTGTGATAATTCAATTCAATGCCACTTATCTTTATTCACATCCGTTTTTCATTTCCACATAAACAGCATTGCTGTCCCATGGACGCTGCGCTGGCTATCCCATAACCAATTCACTCAACACCTGGTACTCCGTATGAACAGGAGGTTCCCTTGCATATATAAAATCTCCAGGTGAAACTTAACCCCACAAGGAATATTGGAACCTGGGATATGTTCATATCCCTCTCGTTTAACAACAACATTATCCCCTCCGTCTATCTTGAGTCCCCTTACGTCCTCTCCCTTGACATAGTAATGAAACAAAGAGTAAGGTCTTAATGGTCGGTCAAAGTTCTTGGTAGACTTAATCTTGGATTGAATTTAGTAGTTTGTTTACCGGGTAATTTAGTCGGGGGAATATGTTTTGCGATGTAAGGAGGACGAGGTTATGATGAGATATCGTATGGGCTTATACGGGAAAATTAAAATGAACCGAAAATGAAATAAACAAGGGAGAAAGAACAAAAGGGATCGAACAAACAGAATGTACCCAGTACAACCTCAGGCAGCGATTCTTTCACATCACCTGATACAATTGTCAGCACAAAGAAAGACTAACATTGGTAAGACAAAGGTCAACAAAAAGAAAAAAGAAAAAGAAGAAAAGCAAGACGTCATAGAAGGCAACCCGACAATTCACAATCCCATGCATGCAGCAAGAGTAAAGTCTAGAGCAGCGCCCGGGACAATAAGAGCGGGATTCTTAGTCACGGTGATATTAGTGCAGTGGATTTATAAACAAGTGGGTTGACCCGGGACGAAAAAGAAAATTAGTAGTATCCTTCAGCCTTGTGGGTCTAAGCCCGAATCGCAAAGGTCCTCGTCTTTTCCTCCAACTCCTCGGAGGAAGTTACTCGAGCAAGGATGGGAGGTGCCGACTGTTCCGACTTACACTGCACATATGACTTTTCCCGAGGGGATAGAGGAAAGTCTACTCCGTAGGAAGTGCTTGTCATGACTAAAAACCGAGCATGGGTAGACTTTGCTACTAGTGACATTGGCGCATCGACCGGTGCCGATCTTCAGGAGCCGTTTAGCGCTCGAAGCTTCAATAGCTTCCCGTCTGGTAAACTTGTTTGTTGGGTGGGCTTCCTATGACGCATTGGGCGTGTGGCGTGGTTACGGTCTTAGAATCCGATTTGTTTGTTTTGTTCGACAGCACAGATGGATTCAGAAATCGGGATCTGGACGGCCAGCGGCCAGACCAGACCATGACCAGGGCCAAGTCAGATGTCCTGGTTTTTGGGTGGACCTTGGCAAGACGACGATCCTTGTACGGTACGGCGGCAATCCCTTGGAACCGAGAAGATTTTCTTGCTTGAGTTGTGTACTTCGTAGAATATTCGGCCGTGAGGTGACATGATCGTGTACTTGGTACATTAGTTAGGGCTGAGGGTGGGTAGCTAGAGCACCTCATGGGGGGAGCCGAAGCGAAAAGGAAAGGTTCCATTCCATTCTCGAGGACGGAGCACAGTGCCAGTACACATTTCCACCCTATAGTCCACCGCTATTATCATACGTTGTGCGGGGTGCATCGGCCGTGTACTCCGTAATACATGACTCTTTTTCCGATTATTATAGACCTTCCATTTCGGGACCACCAAATAGACATTTCTGCATGAGGATCATTAGAACCCGTGCGCCTGTGCATAGATGCTCACACCGTGCGTACTCACACCGTGCACGCCCCGGAGTACGTATCCAGGGTGTTTGTATCGGTAATAATTCGGAACTTGGGCCTGTAATTTGAGGTTTAGTCAAAGTAGAGTCACGATTCGATGAAATAATACTAGTAGTAGAAGAGCAGAGAAACCGAATATCCGCGATCGACACATCGAGACCGAGGATCACGGGAGGGTCATCTGCCTCGACCTGCTCTTCATGCTAAACCCGGACGGGATTAGTGGGTAACATGACAGGATGAAAGTCTACAACAACCTCAACCTTTTGACCCATTTGGATTTCTCGCTAAGTCTAAACCATTTGACTTTCCTTGTCTTATCTGACTTTTACCTCATGTATTAGCTAAGTTGGACGGTCAATTGGCTCAACATGTGCATTCCGCGGGATGCCGACTGGCTCAGTCCACCCGCAAACGAGACCATTCCCTATGAAGTTATACTATGAAAAATGGATTGCCAAAAAGTCATGCAACGATTCCCCTCCCGAACCATGGACTGATGCCCGGCACCTCCCTTGCTCTGGATTTCTGTGTGCTGCAGATCTCGTCCACTGGGACCCGTGATTCCGACTCCCTAATCTCCACCCCCTCCGGTAATGCTGATGACCCTTCCTGCGTATGTGATGCTAGGATGCAGATGGGCGGCGTCGAGAGGTATCACCTAGACAAGGATCAGCTGCAAGTTCTACGTTGTTGGTCAAAGCTGTCGGTGCCACTGAGTCAACAAAGTCTCTGATTGGTGAACATGATCTGTGGATCAACCGTGGACTGGTTTTTTGGTCCATTTCGTGATAACCACACCCAAAAGTTTACTTCATGCAGAGGAAATTATGACGCATCTGGGGAAATCAACAGCTGCCAGGTAGCACTTCCATACTAGGTAATTCTTATTTTTTTATTTTTTTTCGTCCCCTCTCTGTCTACCCTCCCTTTCGACAGACAGGGAGGGTAAATGGAACTTCCCACCGTGGATCCTCGATAGCAGCCGCCGCCATGATTCGAGAATTTTGACGCAAAAGTATGCTGCCCGTCGGTTGGCTCGGGTGTGATGTTATGTGATTGATGCCCAGCACACAGCAGCCCTGTAGATATAAAGCCAGGTCCTGATCGCTCCCTACCTGTGGTTTCTATCCATCAATCACATTAGCCTGCCACACGGGAGTTCACCTTCTATATACTTCAGTTCATCCACCAGTCTGACTTTACTACTAACTCAAACATACGTATATACATTTATATACAAATCAACACAACAACATGCTCTCGAGTTCGATCACACGTCCGCTGCAGCTCTTCACCCGGGTGATGCAGTGGTCTAGCGCTGTCATTGTGATGGGTATCACTTCTTACTTCATCAACAAGGGTCCCCGTGGATTGTCAATCACATATCAAGAAATCATTGTATGTTCCCCGTTTCTCATATTGGCGACTATTAGCTAATACCACGATCCACAGTCTACTATATCGGTCGTGTTCTTCCTGCCAGGCTTTGTGTCACCGTTCATGCCCACGGCTCTTAGCAAATTCGTTCTGGGGATTGATGTTGTCTTCTCGTATCTGTATGCAATCCACCCCCATTCCTACCCTAAGACACTAAGTACTGATCAAATGCCCTAGGTGGCTCACCGCATTCATTTTCGCCGCCCAAGACTACAACCGTCACAACTGCCGCCTCTTCGCTCCCCCAGGAATCTCCTGCTCCAAGAAGAAGGCCAACGAAGCATTCATCTTCCTAGCCTTGTAAGCCGTCCAACTTCCATCAACCATGCCCCCTAGACACTGACAGCAAGCCAGCATCTTCACCTTCTTCGGCATGTTCCTTGAGGTCCTCGGTCTCTGGGCCTACCGTCGCGAGAATGTCCCTGTCCGCGAAAAGACCGGCGGTGCTCACGGCGGTCCCGCCGATGCCCCGGTCGCGACGGCATAAGCGTCAAACTACACTGTCGTCCACGATCAAGTACATATAAGGCGGGCGGACCAGACAATCCACGAGAACGATTCACGATACCATTGAACGGGTTTCCCAGGGCATGCACTACGCAGACGTAATAATACACCTATCACGAGTGAGGAGATGCCAGTCTACTTGTGAGGTATTGGCAAGGGGGAAAGTGTGGAGGTCATAGATGGGTGATTGAGGTGGTTGGAGGTATACTAATATTTGTAATTTCGATATCTGGATAGTTCATGTGACATATTTATATTCTACTATGATTAACTTTTATATTTCTTACAGCTTAACGTTCTGTCATATGCTTGTCATAGATTCATTAATTAAGGTGATGTCACCACATTGGTTCGAGGCAAGTTGGTAGCTTTGGTTCCTACGGAGCTTTGGCTTTCAAATTCTCCATATAAAGTTACATCAAGTGGAACGGTCTGAAGTTCAGAACCACTGTGGCAAGAATATCACCCCCCGTCTATTACACAGTATATTCTGTATACTTTGTTTGCAGTACCAAGGTTCTTGCCCGGTTCTGACCTTTCCTTGCAATTCTCGAGAGTTCACGATCCACTCTTATCCTTGGTGATGAAGAACACTGAGACTCATCTCTATCATTCCGCTCAGATGATCCTCTCAATCAATCAAATGATTCTCGGTGGTTTCAGGAGATCAAGACAGCCTTTGTTGATATCAGTTCTGGCACTGTAGGGGGCGACGAAATCTCAAATACTTGTAAGAAAACGCAAGGATTGCTGTCGACCAAAGAACATGTCTTTTGGGTGTGGGAATACAAAACGAAGTACAATTGACGAGTTCGAAAGGGCATACCGGCTTACGATTCTTTTATTGAACGTCTAGTTATGCAGGTGCTTGCAAGGCAGAATCATGTCTGGAACGCTGTCTGAACCCATACGATTGAAATAAACGGAATCTCAAACCCACTGTCTCTTCTAATATCTCCGTCGTCCCCTGCCTATCCTGTACGCTCTCGTGGTTGAGTCCCGGTGCAGTAGATCTTCTGCACTTATTTTGTATGACCTCTTAACCAGGCTCATGTTGATTCTGCGCGATTTGATCTGCTTCTCACAGCCACACTAACCACTTGTATCATAACAAATACTAGTTCGGATATCGAGCAACATCGTCATTGAAGTCTGTAGTAAGCGCGAAAAGGATTGGAAAAA